GAAACTCAGAAACTGATTCTTAGGGTGCTGACACGGAACGAAACTCTTGGTGAAAACAATGCTGGAAATAAAGCTTTAGTTTAGTTCATAGAGCATGCTTTACTTACCTCCCCACTGCTCTGCATACATCACACCCAGTATTGTATCTTGCTAATAAGTGTGCTATAACTTGCAATAGAAAGAACCGTAGTATTGGGTTATTTCCTGCATAGTATAAGTCTATTAAATGCAAAAATATTGTATTGAGGGTGAATGAGGTCAGCGATCCATGTTGCAATATATATTTTAAGAGAAATCTACATACATGATTGTCTTTATTCATTTTATCAGCTCACATGTGAGCAGAAGAAAAACACATTATGGAACAGTTGATCTAAGTTGCTTGTTTTGTGTTGCCATGAAGGCACGTCTATGCATTTGACTTCAGCAGTCTGTGTCAGACAGATGTTGGACAGGAATACAAGGGTGCCTTTCCTGGTGTGACACTTTGAGAAATCCATTAAGACTCATTGTTTTATTTTGAAGGGAAAATCATTAAAAAAGTAGTCAGGGACACTGTGAATGTGCCATCTGCAATCTGTCTTGAGCTGTGTAGACCACTTGGATGTAAACCTTACTTAGCTGTGGCTAAAGTAAGGATACGAGAAAGCGTATCAAGGATGTTCAAAGTATTTATAACTGTGCTTCTTCTACATGATGCTCTTGCTTTCTTAAAACAGTGCCATTTAACTCATTTTAGTTTTTTAATTATATGTCCTTCTTTGTCCAATGTTGTAGTTTACCAAACATACTGCAGTACACTCGTTTATGGGGAAAAACACAAGGATTTCTGTCAAAGACAAGATGTTTTTATAGAGAATTTGAAATGTAAGATAGCTGCACTTTTTAAGACAATGTGAGATCAAGTGCAAAAAAGCAGGTTCATGAAATCTCAACAGAGCAAGTGTTAGCCAACATCTAAACATATAATACAATAAACATCTTCTGGACCATTTAGCTTGAACCAAATAGAGCTGCAGAATCCAGCATGTATCATGCCTCGCAGTGTTTCATGTCGTTTGGATCGCTCTCTCATCGGCCACAAGCTTTGTAAACCTGGAGCCAAAGTGCTGCGACCTCTTCACCAATACACTGTTAGACTGATGTGGAGAGGTATGGACGCAAAAAACACCCAATGGAGATTTCTGTCTTATAAGCAACAACAAACTGTGAACATTTAACAGCTCTGAATTGAAGGCATTGAAATACTTTACTTGGAGAGTTCATTTGAGTTTGAATAATCCACTTAACTTAAAGACTGAACAATTTCCAATTTTGGGTAAAGATAAAAAAAGAATTTACCTTAAACTAGTTAAGATATTTTTGGATATAAAAATCCAGGTTCATTCAGAAACCAACATTTAGTATGAGAGAATAAATATGAAAAATATGTAATACCAAGGATAACCCAATCGATCATGAATGAAATTATGATTTCATAAAAAGAAAATCAAAGAAATCCTCACGTTGACAATAATATTATGAATTGGTGAGATGCTGATCCTTGGTAGATTTAGCATTTTGACACATTTTCTGATGAAAGAAAAGTGTAATAAATAGTTGTAACATGATTATATTTTTAACATTCTGTAAAATCAGATTCAGCAACTGGACACTTTTCTAACTGAATTTCAGAAAATTAAGGAGAAAACCAAATATAACGAGTTCACCTGCAAGAAAATAAAAATTCAGAGAAATTATTTTCAAAGTAATATTATACTGTAAGTATAATATAATTCTTAAATTGCAGTGTTATTCAAATATAAGGTTTAGTATCCAGAAAAAGTTATATTAGTTAGGAATAAGGTGTTCAGTTGTGTTCGAAAAACTCAAATGTGTGCAGCCTTTCTTTGCCTCCATAGGAGCAAGGATTATATTTCTGCAGACAGATCCCAGCCGCACACTGATTGGTCCTTGCACAGTACTACTTCTTCCTATTGATATCATTATGCATCGCGCAGATTTGTTAATATGCTACAGCATGTACTCACAAGATAATGTAAATAGCAGCATGTTTTAAAGAGAAACCATAATTATATTGTGTAAGTGTGTTTGTGATCTGTGTCATTTTTGATAATAAAACGGAGTAAAAAAGAGTATGCACTGACTGCAAAGTGTATGTATTTTTGCTGAATGGGACTGAATGTAAGTCTTAAGAATCCATGTTGGGGGTCACACTCCTTTAATGCCTGGGATTAAAACGAGTTTGCTTTGTGTATCATATGTAAAAAACACAAAAAGATCCACTTTGTTGCCATAAAACTGCATGTCTGTCTTGCTTCCTGTCATCGTTTGTATGTGTCCTCTGTGTTAAATCCAGTGTTACAGAATGCCTGGGCTACATGTTATTATTGTTCATTTCTGCTTGCACCTGTTATGCAATATGTTTTGATGCTGACCAGTAAACTGTATATTTCAAAAAAGGAGAATATATTTAGCGGGTCCTTGATTTTCTATCTCAGTGTACCGTAAGTGTTTCCTTCATTTACTCCTGCCAGTTGGGTGTTAAATCTAAATTAAATGTAGATATAGTGGACGGCTTGAAGCTCATCTTTCCTTCCGTGCTTCATTAAACTGTACCTTCTCATCTTATTGCATTTCAAATAAACCTGCTCTCACATGTCTGATTATATTTTCTAACATAATAAATCAGTCAGTAATTTGCATATAAACTTAACTTTGTTTAATGTCTTTTTACAGTATATTTATCACAATCTTTTCGCTGGATTACTTCTGTGGAATATTATTATTGCATATTATTGATGCAGTCCTCTGAAAAGAGCTCCAGTCATGTCGTTCAGCCGTCAGTAATCTATTCATTGACTAATGGATTGCAATGGGATGAGCTGGTGTTACACTTGTGCATGCACTGAAATATCAATGCTGTATCCATCATGACGTCTCCAATGTGGGGATTTGTTTACCCATTGCTCCTTTAAATCACTATTATTTGCTGTTGAATAAAACTTTATCTACAGTGCATAAAGATGAACAATCGTGATCTGGATGACACTCCATTTTTTAGAGCAAAATGTAGCTATCTCTATGTTTGAGAGGCGGAGAGAAATACGAACCACATATATTCTGAAAATTCAATTCCTCTATGTGTTGTCAAATTTAGGTTCAAATCTTATTGTGAAAGAGCGCCACATTGCTTTCTTTTCTACAGTGTGTGTCAGTGCATTCCTTACTGGGGTCATTTAATACACTCACACTCCTCTATCTATACTGTATATGAGCTGCCACCAGAATCTGTCTCAAAGGTTTTGTGTTTTTGCAATAGAACCATTAGAGCGTGTATTTGTTTATTGATGTTTTATTGATGGATCATTTGAGTCTGTCACTTTTCTGCAATGCAGGCAACAAAATCCCCGTCTTCCTGGGTCTCTCAAGCGTTCTGGAGCGCAGATGAGACCCAAACAGAGCAGAAAAACATTCGCAATGCAATACTGCCAATCTGCTGCTTCAATAATAGTCTTCAGTCCTCTTATGTGAACATAGCCATGATACAGAACATCCAAAGACCTGATCATCACCCAAACTTTGTCCATCAGGCAATCACTTTCCGAGCAACATAGACAAGGGAAATGCTTTGACGTCTTTCTGGACTTTTGTTTTGTGTCTTGTTGTAGAGGTCTGTTGTAGAGGTCTGTCAGTAGTTGTGCCTTTTTGTGAACCGCATGATTTATTTCCGTACGAAATCCATGTTTTCCAGCAAAAAAAAAGGAACAAAAACCACACATGTACTCATATATCACTCTGTGTAGAACTGAATTACTCAAGGGAATCAAAATATGGGATGTGGTCAGGACGTATCTGTGTGTTGTCAACATGTAACCTTAGGAAATAAAGGCATTTTCAGTAGCCTCGTCCTGTGTGGTGTGTAAATGGAATCCAAGGGTGCTCTTCCACTTTGTGTCAGTGGGTGGCATCATGCATGTACTGTATGAGAAAAATAGAAGGGTGAGTTATAGCCAGCCACTTTAGATGGCAAATCAGAGTTTACTATTATACACTTATATATGCCATTTTCTGAATTTCTAAAAATGTTCTTTGAAAACACACTGGTGAGAGTAATTTGAATTGTGTTCCTCAAATGATTCATAGCATGAAATAATACAAAAAAGTAGTTGAAAGTGCCTTTGGGGTTTGGCAGGTATCCAGTGAGTGTTAGATTATAAATGGGACTTAATTAATCTTCTGAATGTAATTTAGATACATTATGGCCAGCATGGTGCTTCTAAGGCTTATATACATCAGAAACAGGTAATTGTGTTTGTGAAATTAAATGAAAATCCTATATAAAGGAGAATTATATATTTTTTCAGTGCAGCTTTGGGTCATGAAACATGATCTTTATCAGAATTTCTCATTTAACGTTGGGGCTCAAAGTTATTTTTATATCTTGTACAACAGCTGACAAAACAATCCCACTTTCGCCATCCCACCATCTGCTGATAAAGAAAAAGCTCTTTATGTATCTTAATGAGACTAAAAGCAACATAAAAACGACTAAATTGACCTTGAGGTGAGATTATTTTGTGATTTCCATTACTCTATTCGTATTTTACATGATTGAATGATTTCATTCTAAGGAAACAGAAAAGCTTTTTTATTTATTTAACCCCATCCGGTTTTGTATTGTTTTGTATTTTTTCATTTCAGGCTAAGAGAAGTGACATCATACTTCAAGGTAAGGTTAAACATCTTTTAAACCAGAGGTGACGCTCCCACGTTCCTGAAAAATGTATCCCATCCATCACCGGCTGTCCCTGAGAGCTCAGAGCATGTTTTCAATGTCCACATATGGAATAGACAAAAAGAGATGGCCGTTTCCATGGTAATACCTCCATGAAAATACCTGCAATATTTTGTCCATATATGTAGGTTATTAACACACAGTCAGAAATGCTTTACTGATTCCAACACAGTGAAGAAAAAAATACAAGAAGTTGACAATCTTGTGGACATTTGCCTTTATGTAGAAATATTTTATGAATATATAAAATGCATTTTAAGTTAATGTATTTTCTATCTGGGAATGTGCTACTACTTAAGATATAGTACAGTACAGTAACATGAGGCTTCACAGCTGATAATACATGTGTCTGATTGTAACTCAACAGACAAAAGACTCAACTTTAATATGTACATACATTCTGTCTGAGGACGGGCTGAATGTAAGAAGAATGCAGGTATAAATATGGCTTCTGTTATCCGCCCCTCTTCTTCTACTACTTCTGTCTCACTTGGACAGTTTAGTGATGACCCGGATTAAAGCTCCATTCTCGTCCTTCAGTCTCTGGTTCTCCATATTCAGCTCTGCTTTTACCTGAAGGAAGGGAAGGAGACAACTGGTAGGCAAAGTCATGACATGACATGATAAGAATAAAAAATCAAAACTGTAAACAAAGAGATTTAGGTCACTTAATATAGATATTCTTTTGCCATACCAAAAATGTCAATCTATTTTTGGATTGTGTCTTGATATTTTGGTAGTATTTTCCTATGCCATGCCCAAGGTTTTGGAATTGATTCATGCAACATTTTCGGACTCCATTACATCGAATTCAGATTATGTGAATTATTCATTAATGGTTTCCTGTTTTAATTAATACTCACCATATCATTTCAGACAACTCCACTTCCTGCATTTGTGTGTTTCCCGTCCTAATTGGTTCACATTCACATCACCTCATTATTTTCTCTCTCTCAGTGCCAGTTATTATCTTGTGTCAAGTCAAGTGTTATAGCAATTATCATATTGTCTAGTGTTCCTCTCCCTCTCCCTGCTAAATGTGTCTTTAACTCTGAACCCAAACCTTTGCCAAGTAAAGACAGTATCTTATTTTGTTGAACTAATATAATGAATTGAGTAATGTTGCCCATGGTTTCCAGACTAGTTACATTTAATAAAGTTTAGTTTAGGGTTAGGGTTGGTTACATAGTAAACTTAAACACAGGTGCACTAGTAAAATACTATTGTATTGCTAACTGATCCTGAACTAAATTTAGCTTCACATAAACAACTTGGTTGTTCAGGAGAAATGATACACTGAAGCAAATACATAGCACATTTACAAAAACACGAGATTTTACACTTGCATCCAGCAACACACCCACTACTGTACTGCACTTGCTCATTTAAATAAAGACTATAACAATGCTTCTCTGTTTTGATTACTTTCAAACCAGCATCTCATGTTTGTTTAGTCCCAAACAAGAGGTTTTTGTTTGTGCATAACACAGCAGACATTTGTGAATGTTAGACTGTACATGAACGCTGAGGGCCAGCTCGCTGTCAAAGTGCTCACACATTCCACAGCCAGCAGAGCATAATGGTGACAAATGATGTCAGCTGAGACCAGTGTTTGGACACACAGACACTTTAAACTGTGTGCATTTGATTGTGCATTGTTTTCCTCATGCCAAATAAGCTTAACTCCCTCCTGGGTAAGATATCATGCTATATTGTTAATAATAAAATGTTTTAAAGGCGACTGTATGGTGAATGTTAGGGTGAATTACAAGATAACTTATTCATAGAATTACCTTCAACTGCTCTTCCAAATCCGTTATCCTCTTTTTTATACTCCAACTTTCCTATGGGCAAAAAACGTTTCTTAAAAAAACATTCAGATAAATAAATAATTATAGAAACTTTTAAAGAATATATGTTTTAGTATAATCTGGATTTTCTTTTACCTTTTTTTCTGTCTCAAGCATGTTGGAACTACAATCTTCCGCTCTTCCCTTCTGCAACAATGAAAGTTATTTACATTTTATTTATTTTACAAATCCTTCAACTGCAGCCCCCATCATTATTGGCTTCTCTATTTTCATAACACTGAGCAAGTGTTGAATGTAAAGTGTCAAATATATCCACAGTTGCACACAGAATCTCAAAAGCGGATAACAGTTATTTCATTGTGGCTTACGTATATAATGTATGACATATCTCTCTCACACTTTTACCTGATATTGTCATGAGAATATATGGGAGATATTTGGATATGTACTAAAAAATTAAAATCTGAATTCTTGAAATTATTGCTTTTTTTGCTTTGCTGAACCCATTTGCTTCACACTCATACATTTAAATGAGTAATACTGATGTGCTTTACCTGTGTTCTCTGCAGCTGGTCTTGAATCATTGCCAGTTCCTGTTTACTTGTTTCCAGCCTGGACTTCAGCCTGTGGTTGGTGGCCAGTGCCTTTTCATACATCTACAACATATGCACTTGTTAGCATTTCTAAAAGATTGTTTGTTTCGCAGCAAAAGAACGTAACAAACATTGACTATAACAGCAACAGTGAAGGTTTGTGTGTTTTATAGTATGCTACTGATCATTATAATTTCCAGACCATAAATCCTAAAGACTTTCCCTTACATACCATCTATCACAACAAACAGTTTACACTGTTCGAGGGAAATATCGTTTTCTATTGATTGAACATATTTCTATGGACCTTTTGTATTGATTAATCAATCCTTTAGTCTACAAAACAAAAATGCCCACAAAATGTATCTATATTTCAGGATGATGCATTCAAATGGAACTGTTGGCCAACCAACAATAGGAAAATGTCAAGATACTGAATTTACAATAATAATAAAAAAAGACTCAATTTCTGTTGATATAAAGAATCATTGACTAGGTTGCTTTACTTTTAATGTATCATTTTTGTGTGTACTTTTATATCCATTTGATTAATTGTTGGCAGTGCAGCATTTTTGTAGGATTTTTTATTTGTCATTCTAGTATAATTTGTTGTTTTGTTTTCATTAGATACTTGACAAAGGCTCAGTCATCTTGTGGTGTACAGTATGGATAGAATTTCCTTTAATTCACTCTGTAAAGCACGGTGATCAAAGCCCTTGCTTGTATATTTAACCCACACTTTAGGTGAGTTAATTCATTGTGATCACTTTTAGTTTCAGTCAAAACCTTATTTTTGTCTGCATCACTTGCCTTTTTATAGTCATTGTTTGCTGACTCTTCTTCTGCCTTTTTCCTTGCAGACAGTCTGTTCTCCCGTCTTAAGAAGTAGGACTCGGCGTGGTTTGTTGACGAGTCGTTGGAGACATCGGAGGAACCTGATGAGCTTAATCTGGAAGCAAAAGAGAGGTATTACCTTTCAACTCTGGGGTTAACCTCTGTTACTGTCTGAGTTTAATCTCACTGACGCACTGATTGACTCAGTCAGGTGATAACTAAATGTCTTTTGTACGTATTGAATTAGATTTTCTTACCTAGACAGTTTCTCGTGCTGAAATAGAGGAAAAAGGTTTTAGAACTTGCTGAATGAAAAATGCAACAACTCGCCAATATTTCCATCTGTACTTAGCCAACCTTTAACCTTACATTGAAACAAACAAGTCATTAATTGTCACTATGAAGCGTCCTTTGTCAGTAGATGCTCTTTACTGCACAAATAATGACATCACACAGCTTGATTTCATCATTTGTTTGACAGGCTGTTAGCCAGATTAATGATGTGCATGCTATGCAGGAAAACAATTCCACAAACCATTTGGTATATTGAACTATTTTTTTTAACCATGTTGACCATTTATTATGAATAATAGTGTACGAATGCAGTTTAAATGCACAGAGGAAATATTTTATAAGATGTCCTGTAAATGTCAGCAAATGCATTCCTTATCAGCAGATCTAGAAAGCAAAGCTCAGTGATTCTTTGAAGGGACATTAACAGGAATTTCTCATAAAAGTTTTTCTTTTTATGTTTTCCAAGAAAAGGTTTATGGCAGTCAGAAATGTCAAGCCAAGTTAAAAGAAGGGGAGAGGAAGAGATCTCTTAAATAAACTGACAAGCAGAGATAACTAAACACATCCAAAAAAGGTAATAGTTCTGGCAGTGGCTCTCACTATGTGGTCATTATTGCCTGCTGAAGTTTGAAGGGTTATATGGTTTCCCTGGTGGGATATTTTCCACCAGAAGAGCAGATCAAAAGCTAAAATATAAAAACTAACACCCCCTTAATAGACAAAATGTAGCCTGATGAATTTCATTGACTTAGGTTTAAATCACCAGTAAGTGTAATATTTTACAAGTAAGTGCGATGATATATCCAACACATTGATCAAAGATCTCCCATACTGTAGGTGTTATGACATCTGGTGAAAGTCATAGTATAATATTACATACGTTTCACACTCAACAAACTATCAGTGACCCCTGGCGCCATAAATGGACACATCTGCATTTATTATGTTTCTACAGTCTTCTTCAGTACTCCGACATTCTCACTCACCTCTACAGTACATATAGGCAAGGCATGGTTATTTACACAAACCTTTTTATATATTATTCACTTGGATTATTATGTTCTGCACTTTTGTACAAAGTAACATATTAGCGCACGCAAACAGTTAAAAATAAATCTTGGTGCTTATCAATTTGGGAATGTATCACTCTCAAACAAACGTCTACAAATGTATTCAGTTCTAATACAGGTGGTTAGCATTTGTTCTGCTGTAGCTCTTAGGGATAGAAAATGGTTACAGACTGAAATATCTCAACAGTTTATGGATGGACGACGTACATTTTTCTCACCATTGACTTCCTTTTACCTTTTTCTTTAAAGTTCCCATTCGTAGTTTTGTGTGAAAACAACTCTTGAATGCACTGCCATAACATTTAATAAGGATATTGATTTTCCCATAGGATAAATAACTTTGGTTTCCAGTACATTTTTATTTAGCGCCAAATACCTGCTAAGCTAATGACTTCACTTAAAGAGTTACTGTACTTTGTGTTTCGTGCTAATTAGCATCAGCATTTCAGCATTGTCACCATGAGCATGTTAGCATGTTGTTGTTAAAATTGACACCAGCTGTGCCTCATCATAGAGCTGCTAGCAGTACTGTTGTCTCCACTGTAATTCTTGCTTATGTATTTAAAAAAACAAGGCAATTCAGAATGTATTACACACAGGATCAAATGGAATTAAGATAAAAAACAGTACGGACAAAACTTACAGTGTTGCCATATAGATACTTTGAATATTTGAATGTTTTTATAACACATTAATTATAGAAAAGGGAAATATGACTTGCTCTTCAGTCTTTAATACATTTAGTAGTTCTAACAATCAATATGTATTAACTTAGAGGAGGTAGTTATCTTGCCTGTAGCAATTAAATCAGCATACCAGATAAATAATGCACTGAATAACTTATTTCTGCTCACATAACTACTGACACAGTAAATGAGGTTTACTTTTGCACTGAACTCTCTTGTTTGAGTAGCTTATTGTAAAAAAGGAAAAGCAGACTGGTGACGAATACATTTATTTTTTGTTAGGGATCATGCTATTTAACATAGTGCTGCACTGAGAGTTTATAGCTATTGCTAATCCCTTTTTGGAGTAATACATGTATAGTATAGTTAACTGCTTAAACAGTTACACGTCAAACTAAATAATTGAGACAACAAGTGGATTACTATTAAATAGAAACAGTGCTTTAGGTTTAGATACTTTGTGTAAACACAGTGATACGCCTCTGCTCAGACATTTACAAGAGCTCTGGATCTCCCCCAGACTCTGATGTCAGCTCCTTTAAGGCTCTCTGGACACTTGGCTATGCTCGGTAAACGGTCATTAATGATATACAGTGTGCAGACTTGGAAAAAGCTCTGGTTTAGATTAGGCGACAGCACATATAAACAGATGCTGATGGAAAGGCAGGCGTATGTGTCCCATCTATGTGAGCGACTCTGTCACTAAGCTGTCCTCCAGCCTTTCTAGATTGCGCGAGGAACTTTTTGTCTGCTGACCAGCTATTCCCAAGTGGAAAAAGTGAGCCTCCCGCAGGACTAGCAGAGAGATAAACATCCATAAATACTGTGTCTGAGTTCCCACAAGCCAGTCCTAAGCACTCAGACCCTCCTCCTCTCTGTTCCCTGTCATCCTGTCTTTCACCCCATGCTTTCTTTCTTTCTTTCTCTCTCTCTCTCTCTCTCTCTCTCTCTCTCTCTCTCTCTCTCTCTTCCTGTATCCCTCTCTCTGTTTCTCTCCATGAATCTGTCCCAAGTGGATTCTAAGTTCACATACAGTAAACGGTTTCACTAACTCCTCATTACAACTCTTTCTTGGTTTCACTTACACGTTTTGTTTCTCCATGTTCATGCACATCAACATGTGATTAAGTTTCACAGTTTGAGTTATTACAAACCATCAGAAGCATGTCAGTGTTATTCGAGATTAAATACGTTGTTATCTTTAGTGCTGTGGGATCCCAAATGTGTACCATTTAACTCAAATGTAAAGGCACATGATGAAAAAAAAGGAAGAAAACCTTTTAATCAAACTATTAACATGTTTTTAAGCTCAAAATTGTACACTGATACCATGGGCAAATGGAAACACCATTTGCTCCTTTATATATGATTGACTGTCAAATAAAGTACCAAGTTATATGAAAACATTGAAATCATAGCTTTACAGAAACATTTGAATTACACAATCTCAAAGAGAAACTTTGGTCTTGATGCAACATAATAATGCTAGTGCCATATACAGTATAAAGTGGTTTAGAGGACATTCGGGGGGAAAAAAGAAAAACGTTTGTGCATTCCAGCAGCTGTCATGTGTAAACAGTGTCCAAAAAAGGACTCGAGTTCATTTCAAATGAGGCATTAAGAAGTCATTTATGGCTTATCATAATTTTCCATGGATCTTTTATACTACTAAGATTCTATGGCAGAGTAAACAAACACACAGGAATACTTTTGTGGCTTGTTACATTTGTTTGACAATCACTGAACTCTGATGTTAGTGTTTGCATCATGTCAGCCGTGGCATTTCCTCTTACCACACAGACAGTGAAAAGATTAGAGACAATCCTGCCTTACCTTCTGGCTCTTGGTGGAGGCAGTGGATGAAGTAGAAGAGTCTGAGAGCGTCTTTCTAATGCGTGGCTGGTCTTTGTTGTGAGAAAGTACAGATGACATTGCTCTCGAGGTGCTGGTCTCCACATGCAGCAGTAATGTGATTCAAAGTACTTCCAAAAAGAGTTGTTTTAAAAATAAAATGTCTTCTTAAACAAAAACAGCAAAGAAGATGTAGAGGGATCTATTTATAATCCAATGTATGGCTGTTTCCTTAGTTAAAGTGAGCAAGTGGGTTCTTCATGTGATGTCAGACATTGAATATCTGATGAGAGTGAAAGAGCTGCACATGTGAGAGCTGTGAGGAAGTGGTGAGACCGGAGAGTAGGCGGGCTGTAGTGTGTGTGTGTGTGTGTGTGTGTGTGTGTGTGGTTGTGTGTGTGTGTGTGTGTGGTTGTGTGTGTGTGTGGACACAAGGATCTGACAGCAGTATTGTTCTCAAGGGCTCTCAAGGGAAGTAGAGTCATTCAGCCTAAAATGGTAAAAAGTCATAGTGTTTAATAAGGTATTTCTCTCAATTTGAAAATTGTTTACATTTCAAGTGAATTTAATTAATCTCTTTTATTTTTTTATTTGTAGCCTACAAGATGAAAAAAGAATTGAAGGAAAAAGTATTAAGATATTATACTTACTATAAGAAGCACTATCATACAATATACGAAAAAGTAGAGGTCCTAGTTCAAAATGCTTTTTAAATTAAAGTATTAGCATCAACATGTGCTTGAAGTACCACACATAAAAGTACTCATAAGGCAGAATGGCCATTATTCAAAACCACGTACATTACTTTACTTTCTAATTTCAACCACTTTATAATCTGCTGGTTTTTCTTAATAATAACACATAGTATAATCAATGATTTAAGTAAAGATATTGAGTTAAAAAATACAATATTACCATCTAAATAATAGTGTAGTAAAAAGTATAGCATCATAGGAATACTACATAAAGTACACGTACTTAACTAACTTGTGTACATTTCAATCCCACACGTTGAAACAATGCTGTTAAAAAGGGTAATTCCTCAATAATAAAAAAAAGGGTTGAAGGTACATCTGAAAGTAAAACTAACATTTAAAATAGGACACATGCAGTACAGTAGGTGATCATGTGTTTCTGTTAGAGTGAGATAAGGTTGAACAAAAAACAACTGGTTGGTCAGATACACAAATAGTCGGATTTCTTGTTTTAATTTAATCAAGCTGGAGGCTGCATGTGTAGAAAGTTAAGACGAGTTTACTTTATGAGTATGTTCAGTTTTAATTATTCTGTAAGCTCATTTGTTTGCAATTATTCTCCTGAAAGGTACTCTAGGACAAATATATTTCATGGCATATACTCTGAACAGTTGCTAACAAAATATATGGTAAGGGTTTACATTTAAAATGTTGACATAACATGTGCATCATTTTGTGTCTGTTGGCCTTTAAGTAAATCAGGGCTGACTCAGAGTTGGCTGTCTCGGTCTGCACCTGCTCTAATCTCATTACAGACAAAAATAAGACCAATTATTTCAGATTTATATTCTTACAGTGACACTGATGAGTTACTCCTCCAGCAATGTGAAGTTCCACAGCACAATTTAGGATATAAAGATTTGTATTTCCCCTGTCTTGCCAAACATAATTCTGCATTAGTTTTGTTTAAGCATGACATGTACAGTAGCTTCAGTTTACATTTGTTTTAAAGATATTTAAAAAATATGTATTTGACATTTAAAACGCCCATTAGGTCTTGCCTTTAAATATCAGATAAGTGTGTCTACTTTTAACATACAGCTCTGAAAGAAAATGAGAACACTCCACATTTGTCTTGAATCTCAATCTCTACATACTGTATGTGGCAGCTAGTGTCTGTTGAATCCCAACACAGAGAAATGTTTTCAGTAGTTTATAGAGTAAAATATTTTACATATTTTTTCATTTTAGTCAAACATGGTCTATAAATAGTAAAACCAAAGAAACTGATAATGCTGCAGTCGTCTCTTCTTTTTTTTTTTTAGAGCTGTATGTGGCCATCAAGCTCCCACTCATTGTTTTGTCCTAAGAAATGAGTGCATTTATTAATACAGATTAAAGAAAAATAATAACACGCCATCTGTTCTCTTTCCAAACTTGAGTATTTATTCACATCTTCCTTAAGTAACCTCATGGCAAACCGAAGGGCCATTTCCTTTGGACATCATGTGGTTGCCGTTTGTCAGTTTAAGTTTAGACAGGGTGTCACAGATCGGTAGCTGTCTACACAACATGAGAAGGCTAATTTAGGAAGACATGTGTTGCTGCAAGCAGAATTTCCCTTTCAATAGTCTCAAAACCAAGAAAAAGAATCCTTAACCCTTAGATTTCTCGTTTCTTTTTTAAAAATAGTTTTTTGGTTCCTCTTTCAGAGTTGTTGATTATTCCTTATCATTAGGAGTTATCAGGCACCATCTGCTGGCAGAAAATAGTACTTTAACCTTTTTACAAAAGAGCTTCATGACAAGAGAACAGTATGTACCAATCGAATCATATGTACTGTACCCACATGTACAGCATGTGCACTTGAACCATAAATAACTCTATGGAGAGAGGCACTACACGTGCGTGCCCTTGTGTTAAATTACAAGCTGCAAGTACAGTCACATTTGTTTCCTCTTTCATATTGCAAAAAACAATTGACATTTCATAGCTTAATCTTGTCATGTGTAAACGGTTGAAATACAGTTTATAGATTTTCCATTCTTTTTTTCCCCAATGTATCTTTCAAAATGCCCATTCAGAAACAGATCGTACAACAAGACCATATGTATATTAACCTCAAATATGACTGACATAAGACTACATAAATATTTATCAAAGTTCTACAAAATGGTTCAAGTTTTTAGTAATGTTTAGAAAAACCCAAGTAGAATATAACAAACACTATAAATCAATTGCAAGAAAGTGTGCGGAGTGTAAAAAAAAAAAAATGGTTTCCATGCATCTCAATAAGACTAATAATTTACTGAACCATTTCAAGTACAACTACCCATCCTCCTCATTTACATCCATGGAGACCTCCTGATTTGAGTCATCCGACTCTTCTTCTTCAAAAATGTTTTTGAAAACATCCTCTTCCAAAGCAATCACTTCCAAAAGCTCCTGTTCTGTGAATTCATCTTCTTGAGTAATTTCTTCTTCCTCCTGCTCCTCTGTAATGTCACTCTCTACTTCCTGTCCAAGTGGCTGTTCTTCCTGCATTCCCTCCTCCTGCTCCTCTGTAATGTCACTCTCTACTTCCTGTCCAAGTGGCTGTTCTTCCTGCATTCCCTCCTCCTTATCCTCTACGTCTTCTAGCTTTGCCTGCACCTCAGTGGCATCCTTTACAGTGGTGGCGAGTAACTCTTCTGCTTCAAGTTCGGCCTCATCATCATCGAGATTCACTGACCTAGAAGGATCATTCCCCAACTGAGATGGAAAGATATGTTATTAATTCATTCTAAAAGGAATTAAACATTTGCAATTTAAAAAAGCAAAAGGGTTTACCTGGCCGTTAAAAGTCTGCATTTGAGCCATGATGCTGGTGCGGAGGGTCGTGGTAGTGTCAAACTGCTCATCCAAAATAACCTGCACAGAAGTGAGCATCTCCTCTAACGCCAAGGCATGCATGACCTGCTTAGTCTTGACATTCTCCCTGATAACAAAAAAAACACACATAACAGAAAGTGAACAAATAAAAACATTGTACAGAGTTGCAGAAATCTAACTCTGAATTCTAACTGAACTCACTTTATTGAAGCCACTTCCTGGTTGCTTGTATGAAGGGCAGCATCATGGAGGTGCATCAACTCTTTAATATCATTCAGATCTGAGGCTTGTCCCTTTAGCTGTACATTAAGGAAGGCCAATGATACATCCTGCTCGTCAACTTTGGAGGATGCACTAGCCACAGCATTGGTCAGCTCAGCCACATTTTCAGCCAGTGCTGAGCTGGAGCTCAAACCGGCAGCTACGCTCTCCTTCACAGCCTCAAACTCCTCACTCTGGTTTTTGAATATAGCCTGGAGAGTTGTGACGGACAGGGTGACCTGCTCTAACTCGGCCATTCGGGTGTCCAGCTCAGCATTTAGGGACACATGCTCCGAACACCTCAACTTCTCTGACGTGGCCAGGGCAACCTCAGCCTTCTCCAGGGCAAATATCCTTTCCTCCACATCAAAACCTGTATATGTCTACAGAGAGTGGAAGAAATAAAAAAATACATTTGGTTAGTTAAAACATTTGTAATCTCTTCTTGTCTTTTCAATGTCAGAATGAGCAGTCATTTAGCTGTAGCAGGGGTGTAGGCCTACAACATGAAAATACATGGCCTCGAGCTCCACTGCCCTTTCATAAGACAATACAAAATTAAATGTTACTTTTTACCATATCATCCTTTTGATATCTCTGCGTAATAATAACACATTGTGGGCAGTGGAAAGGGTGCATATCTTGGCTCCCATGTCAAACGTTCAATATAGATTTATCTGGGTCAACTTGTTGAAATCTTAAACTTTGAAGCCCTAAAATGTGACAGTTTCCTTAACTTAAAACATGGATATCTCCAAAATGGGTATTAAACATCCATGTCCCCTTTTCCCTTGTAATTTGAACTGTGTTGGTAGCCCTAACAAAACATAGTTCCTGGGAACATGGGTTGACCTCGTTACAAATCACTGAGCAGGACTCGTATAGAAATGTATGATAATTATTAGTTTTTTGCATCAATGTGATAAGGAACCTTGGTTCGTCAGTACTTAATATCCTGTATCAACCAAACAGCAGCAGAGTACAGTATGTCAGTGAAACGTGACCGTACAGTTGCTTAGAGTCAAACCATGCTAAAAATAACAACAGGTGGTACTATCAATGTCAAGCCCGCCATTCTTAATGTCTTCCTTTGTTAGCTTTTCAGAATAAAGTCAGACCCACGTTTTCATTCGTATTATCCTCTAAATCACACCAACTGGATGTGACTAAAACATTGTCGTCATTTACATATACTTTGAAAAGTATTTGTTCATGTATTTATATTTAAATAATTTCAAGAACGACAAATGTAATTACTTTACTTTACTTTGAAGGCAAACGAGCAACTTCCGGTATATTCGGTTCAGCTAGTTTTAGCTTAACGCAGCTGTTGCTAAGCCAAGCTGTGATAGTTAGCCCCCCAACGCCGAAATTAAGTCCAAAAAAACAAATTAACGATTTATTTTTTATCTTGGTGAACAATTGAGTAAAACAACTTTTGAAATAATACATCTTCAAACAATGTACGTGAAAAACGTTACCTGTGATGATTCCGATATCTCCACCGCCCGCTGCAGGTTGGTGATTTTCTTTTGCATTGATGTAAAGGTTTCCGACAGTTGCTCGACACTTTGCTGATTTTCTACACAAAACCAACCCATTATAGAGGCACCGACTGTGAACACAATGATGAACAACAACGCTGGTGAACTATAAGAGTTAAAGCTTCCCTTGGACGTGTTAACGCTTGCCTTGGATACGTTTACGCTTTCATTGGATACGTTTACGCTTCCATTGGATGAGTTTATGCTATCCTTGGAGCAGTTTATGCTTTCGTTGGAGGTGTTCATGCTTTCCTTGGAGGTGTTCATGCTTTCCTTAGGCTTTGAAACTGGAGACTCCAACACAATGGAGGAGTCTTGTTCCTGCGGCTTCTTAGACTTTCGCTTGGCCATGGCAGCAGAGGAGGACTAGAGATCTGCGTGTCTTCAGTGGACTGGGTTCAGCAGGTTGAGGCTGTCGTCTGGATCAGCAAAGGTATTACTGTTTCAGACCCTTTGACCTAGTCATTCATTGGGCCTGCATCCACAGCAACTGCTGGTGTGGGGGGCGTGACTGCACGTTATGTAACTGCATTGGTGGAATAAGAGTTTAGATCCACCAATAATGAATACACCACAGTGTGCATATACTCCATCAGAAAGGTTTTGTATTCATAACTTTAATTAAAAGTAATTTATATTGACAACACAACTGGGAAGTCCTCTTAAAAAAAAAGAAGCTTGTTCATTCAAACTACAGTTTTACTGGTGTCTTGCTTATTTAGGAATTTGTCATCTGCTTACATTATTAATGTATTAGCACTTTATCGAAGTTGTCAGATAAATGCATGGGGAAAAAAAACGAGAGGATTTCCCTCTGAAATGCAGTGGGGGTGCTAGTGGGTCGCCGGAGCTGTTGGAACTGTAGTTGTAAGTGCAATGCCTTGCTGCCTGTATGTGGGCTGGACCTGTATTTTACAGGAAAGGAGTGAGCAGAGGGTAGAGTTGTCCATTCTTGTTCTGTTTTCTGTGACTATCTTCCTCACCATGCTGAACACCCTCTCAGACTTTTAGTAGCGCGCGGAAGAGACGCGCTAGCATGGAAACCAAACAATGGTGTAGCTGTATTAAAGTCCGAGTGGAAACAGTCGTGAGTAAATACCGCGGTGAAGTTAGTTTTAGGTTTAATATTCGACAGACATTCGCGGACCAGCCAGCAGCGTCAGTTTCCCCTGCTGCTGGCTGTATTCAGGGCCGTATCCAGGATTTCATAAATACCGAGGTCCAAACATGATAAGGGGGTTTGGGGGTATACCCCCCCTGATATTTTTGGGATTTTCATGATCTAGTTAGGTGCTTTTTAAGTCCTGTGGGGGGTCACAAATTGGATAATATATTGATTTCAAACCATGTCAGTGGGCTGCAGCATAAATTATTTTTGAAAGTGTAATGCATAAGAATCAGTTGATTGTTACTATTAATGATCTGGACATGCAGAAGAGGCTAATATGATCCCAAAACATTGTCAACATTCATTTTCCATGTCTCTCTCCTTTCCATAACCTGCCCCCTCTCTTCCATCTTCTTTAGTCTCTCTGTCTTCTTCCTGTTCATTACTCTCTCTGTCCTCTACTCTTTCTCTTTGTTCAATCTCTCCCTCGTTGTTCACTTTCTGCTCCTCCTCACTTGTCGCTCCTGCCAGTGAATTAAAAGCAATTCAGCAATTTAGTTCATTTCACTTGTTTGCATTATTTTTTTAATTTAAATCTGTTTTGTTTGATTCTCAAAAGAGAACAAAGATGTAAGCAAATTGTGTTTTATACAATTGTATGTCATCATAACTGCAATAGATATGTTGTTTTAAAATGATGCCTATTGTCTATAGTGTAAATGAAGACTATTGTTATAGATAAATAGATAGATAGATAGATAGACAGATGGATAGATAGATAAATAGATAGATAGATAGATAGATAGATAGATAGATAGATGGATAGATAGATAGATAGGGTTATTAAGCCTACATTCTTTTGTGTGACTGTCCCTGCATTCCTCCCTGACTTCCATCACTTTCTCTCTCTCTCTTTCTCTCTGCCTGTCCTGTCTCTTCCTCACTAAAGTTGAGCTTCGACTGGCGTAGTCTTTTCATTATACCTGAGTCAGCGTAAAAAGAAAACAATACAATGTTGTTATATCTTCAATGTTTTACTCAAATTGAAATGAAAGAAAAGCATTACAACGTTTGTTAAAAGGTAATCCTTCTGACATTGGATGAATGAAATTAACTGTAGCTCTCTAGCTAGTTTATTCATGCAATTTAAACCAAAGTATAGCCTATAGCTGCAATATAAGTTAGTGTGCATGTTGTCGGACGTCCACTGACTAACGCAGTGCATGCGTTCACACAGGATCTGCAGGTCATATGATGTCCTGATGAACAGAAACACAAGCAGCCCACTGGACTCAGATCTCTAGATACCTCATCACTCCTCCGCTGCTCCGGTACAAGTCTTGGCTTTTAACAGAGGCTACGTGGTTATGCAGCGCCCCCCATCGGCAGTAAATGGAAGTACTACAAAGAACCCCGTTTAGTGCCGTTATTTCACACGTTTTGTTATATACACAGCTCGGAAATTATTACCGAGGTCCGGACCTCGGTGACCTCAATGGTGGATACGGCCCTGGCTGTATTACGACGGGGAGATCTTCTCCGCGAAACGAGGCTTTCACTTATATTAGGGACCATCAACAAATGACTTTTCAATTACACAAGAACAATGTTCTTTTTAATAAATCGACAGCTTCCCGATCGTGTGAATGTAAAGCAAATCCACTCTAGACTAGAACACACCCCTTTTTATTGCATTTTACTTTAAATGGGCACGTCACTGTACCCAGGAAGAAAAAGAGAAATCTCCAACGAGGCGCTCTGGGGCAGCATAGACAGGTATTTTCTGTGTTAGAGTTTTACTCGCTACACGGTGTACTTTGAGGGTTTGTGACTTTGCAGACCGTTTACTTGCATAAAAACCTTCATAACACACAAGGGGACGGGTAATAACTGGAAAGGCATGACATGGGACCTTTAAGGAAAGCATTTGTGAACACCTATTTACTTCCCACTTCTGGTGTCTCTTATGATGCCGTCGCCGAGCACATCCATGATGCTGGGTTTGTAGGTTGAAAGTCCTTAACAAACGTACTTAACTTACTCACCTTTAGCAGTCCTTCACATACTAGTTTATGGCCATCAATGTGTTTTCCAAGCATTTAATGAAGTTGTGCGCTTTGCACAGAATAATGCCTCACCTTTTTGTTGAGGATTTTTGACAGTACCATAACTTCCAAACTATCCAACTTGAAAACGAAAGCCTTAAAGTTCAAACAAAAAGCACAAACACACTTTGAGTTTCTTTGATATAGGTGTTACACCTAAGGGTAAGGTTAAATAGTTATTTAAGTCAGATGATGACAGTTTAAATATCTGTACATTATCTGCAAATACAACTTTAATGTCGCTCACCTTTCTAACACCCTATGTTTTGAAACAGACATGTTTCTACTGAGACAAAGGTATATTGGTATGGAAATGTTAAATTATTGCTCCATGAGACTTTTTTGTGTCAGAAATTGACATTAGTGGCTTTCTGAGGAGGTATGCACTATCATTTGTGATGTGATTTTGGTTGCTGTACTAGTGTGAATGAGTTAACCATGTATATAACATGACAAGCATCAACAAGAAGATAAACAATTACAACCAGAATGGCTAGTATACGAATAGAAAAAAAAAGAGTGTTTTTGCTGCTTGCTATGTTCTTCTTTTACAGCGTCAGTGCTTATGTTTTTTGCTTTAGGGTCATATGAATTAATGTTGTTATCTGACTAGATGACAATTTAGAAAAATAACGGTCCTTGGTGTACGTGATGAGTTTGTCTTGGTATGGTATTCTTTTACTTTGCTTCTGTTTCTCCAGTTTGACCATTTAATGGGTAGGATAACTTCACTTGTGTTAACTTGTTTACTAAACACTTTTTTTAAAGGTACAGCTCTATACCTTCAAAATGGCATCCCTGTGGTATCAGAGATAGTACCCAAATGTAATTGAGAGAGACTGGTTGGTTGAGTGTGACCCACATTGCTTTTGTGTGTAATGTATCTGATTGTGTACACTATACAGGGTACAACACACAGTTGTCAGAGCTGTCTTTATTAATTTAACGTTATGCACCAACAATTTCTGCAGTTGTGTGTTGCAAGGGAGAGAGAAATAAAGAACGTCTAACATTAAGCACCTATAATACAACATATTTCTTTTTTTATTTAAAGCTGTCAGATTTCTTCAAGAAAATGTATCCCATGTAATCCAACATAAATACATTGAAACCTTAGGCAAAGTAAATCTAACATAACTGTCCATTTTCAAGCACTTATTTGAATGCTGAAATGATTGTGTTACAATAACTTGCATAGCACAGTGAAGAACAGATCATAGGCATCACAATAAAACAGTGCAGTCTCTTTCTAACATGCAAGACTTTACATGAATGAATACATGTATGGCTGAACCCCTATAGTCAACATTTCGATGTGTCTTTGGGCCTGAGACTTAACCCTAAATGATATCCATCGCCATGTATTAAGTGTATAAGTTGCTTTGGATAAAAGCGTAAGCATGTAATGTAATGTAACGCCCTGTACTTGTACAAAGTCATGCACTAGTCTAGTGTGTCCTAATGCATAAGAAACAAGCAAAAACATATCCCAATAGGACTACTACTATTACAGTGTGTTTGACTTCATCAAGTAAATAATAGCATGATAGTATAATATCTCTACAAAGCACAACGTGTGACATTTTTCCAAAAGACACATTTCATGTTTTCTAGAGCTTTTTTTTTTTATATTTGTGTTTCACAAAGGTGGGAGATAGAGTAACTTAAAATGTATACAATCTGTAGTTACATTTAGTTTAATTTAATTTAATTGATTTAAAACATGTTAAGACTTCTGTTCGTCTAGCTTCTGTCCAGCAGCTGAAGTTCTTCTTCACTCTGTAAAGAAAAACATTGGTGGTATAACTTTGTTTTATTATCGTACTGTACTCTCAAATCTATCATCAGTCTCTATGAAAAACGGTTACATTCTCAAACTTTAATTAAAGGTAGGGTAGGTAAGTTTGAGAAACCGGCTTGAGATACACTTTTTGTTATATTCCATGGAATGCTCTTAACATCCCGATAGCAATGAATATCTTAAGTGCTTTGACAAAAAATCCATAAAGAAATGTCATCTGTGGAAGCCGTAGTACTGTAAAAAGCACGACCAATCATTTTAGCCGGCCCGGCTAAAATAACTGGATGGCCTACCTGCCTGTCAGCCTTCCATCTGTGCACAAACTTATCTCGTGCCCTCATTGGTCATGTGCGCGTTCGTGTGTGTTGGAGGAGGGGCTCTATAAGGAAGTGGCAGATTTTCTCCGGTTGTGTATTTTCAAATTCTAGCGATCTCAAGCCGGTTTCTCAAACGTACCTACCCTACCTTTAAGTGTAAATACCTCTGACATTCAGCATCATTGAGCACTCGGCTGTCCCCAGTTTGTTCTCAATGACCACTTTGTATTCCCCGTTGTCTTTGGGCCCCACCCGTAGTATGAGCAGGGAGCAGACGCCACAAACATTTGTGATGTGGTAGTTGGTGTTTGTGTTCAGGCTCATATCGTTGCGGTACCATGTCACACGTGGAGCTGGATCCCCCTTAACGGCACAGCTCATGTAGCACTCATAACCCTGTGGAGTTGTACGCCTCTTTAGTGGAACGATGAACGATGGAGGGGACTGGAAGTCCAAAGGTTTTCTCTCTGGCATGTCTACTTTGAACTTTCCTGAAACACAAGAAATGTATCAAGTTGACACTTTTAGATTATTATAATCCTATATCTTGAGAAGATATAGTCTCTTTTAAAGATTTCTCCCTTAACCATCATATTGAACATTTCTTCTAATGTTTACATTATAACTTTGCTGTAATCTATATCCCCTATGTGTCTATGCTTTTTAATCGTCCTGCTATTGTTTCTCTTTATCTGCATCAAGTAGAAGTGACTAGAAGTAGAAATAAACAGTATCGGCCTGTGTTGCTTCGATTTTGAGCATCTTTTTTTCCGCTATTTTCGTAGTCCTCTAAACCTATTACAAAATGCGCTGGATTTTGCAGGAACCTATATCTTACACAAGAATACGAACCAAAATTCAGCATTGTGTACAGGATAGTTACAATGAATTGCAATGTTTTTGTGATTGAATCAGAGGCACACACCTTTTTCCTTTATGGTTCCAAACACAGGGGATTCAGAAGGTGGTGAAGGACCAATGTCATTTTTAGCAAACACCCTGAAGTGATACTCCCGTCCAGACAAAATATTGACTACTGTGCATTTATTGTTGAAGAGGTTATCTGCGACTGTCCTCCAACTGCGTTTGAAGGAGTCCTTCTTAGCTACCATGTAGTGTAGTCTGTCATCTCTCTTCTCATCTGGAGAGGGAGTCCAGGACAGGGTCACTGTTCCTGGGATGTTCTGATCCAGCTCCACAGGACCTGGGGGCTTGGGATCATCTAAAACCAAATTTAGAGGCACAAAAATACAGAGGTCCAAGTTACAAAAGTGTATATTTCTATTTACAAGCAGTACATACAAACAATCTGCATCCAGTTCAGTTTCTCATTGCTGTTAGTCTGTTTGCATTTTACACTTGGATTAGATTATTCCAACTGGGGTTTATTGGGTCAACTGTATATTGTGTTAAACGTTTGAACATAGAAGGAAGCCATGAAAAAGCATGCATTCAGTGTCTGTATTGTTACTGTTTTTGTATTATCCTGAACAGTAGTTTGTGGAGCGCGCACATAAGTTTACCTGTAACTCTGATTTCAATATTGAAGCTTGCTTGGCCGACAATGTTTTTGACAGTTATGGTGTAGATGCCACTGTCGGGCCGATCAGATGTGGGGATCCACAGCTGAGATCCTTTATCAGAGTTGGTAATAGTTACATGTTTGGGCACTGGTATACCATCTTTTTGCCAAGTAATTTCTGGCAGGGGACATGCCTGTAAACATAAAGAAAGATATTACATTTGTTGATTTGTTGATTCTACAGTCATCCCATTGGGAGGAAAACTTCCAGCACAATACCTCAAAGTTGATGTTCAGACGGACTGTGTTTCCAGACCTTACCACCACAAAGGTCTTCATGTTGCGGTCGTTAAACTTTGGCTTTACTGTGAGGTTGAAATAAAGATATTTAGTTTAGATTATTTTTGTTAAACAATTCAACAAACTAGTCTTTTTTTTTCTTTAAATAATTTTTTCATTCTGTCTAAAGACAAAAAAGACTGTCTTTTATACTGGATATATTTTAAGAAAACACAGCTTTGTTTAAAATATAATATTTCTGAACCTTAAGGCATGGATATGAATTTCTTAAGGACATTGTACAGATTTGGGATTAAAGCATATTTAAAAGTTGAGCATTGTCTGTATCAAGCTAGGTCCCTTTCAAATCTTTTGTTTACTGTAATCCATTGTATGCATGCTTCAGTTAAAGGTGGGGTAGGTCATTTTGGAGAAACCAGCTCGAGTGCGCTAGAATTTGAAAATACACAACCGGTAAAAATCTGCCACTTCCTTCAGACTTCCTTACAGAGCCCCTCCTCCAACACACACAAATGCACACATGACCAATGAGGGCACGAGATAAGTTTGTGCACAGATGGAAGGCTGATAGGCAGGTACTGTAGGCCATCCAGTTATTTTAGCCGGGCCGGCTAAAATGATTGGTCGTGCTTTTTACAGCGCTACGGCTTCCACAGATGACATTTTTTTACGTATTTATTGTCAAAGCATTTAAGATATTCATTGCTATCGGGATGTTAAGAGCATTCCACGGAATATACAGTAACAAAAAGTGTTTCTGAAATAAATTACATACCCCACCTTTAAGTATCCATTATGTGCATGAAATGCCTTTGGTATTAAACAACAGGTCGCTTTGCCTGTAATACAGTGTTTTGATGTAGCATCATGCCTTAAAATTACCACTGTTGTTGGTACAAAGATTCAATTGAATTAAGGTATTTTGATCATGCTGGTCTCACCAAAATTGTGTTGAAACTGTCTTGTCGCAACAATTATACCCTTGAACTCTGGGTTTCAAAGAACTGTCAATAAAATACATTACTCGTCTTTTGCATTCCTGCAGTAATAAAGCAGTGGCAATGTCACTTTTGATATAGCCTTCTGTATTCCAAAATAATATAGAGAACGATAGAAACTGTTGACAATTCACATTTTCTTACCAGGAGGAGGCATGGCAATGATGTAATTGTCAAAGCCCTGAGGTTCTCCATCACCTCCATAATTGGTGGCAATAACTCTCAGCCAGTATGTGGCCATTGCCTTCAGGCCAAGCACAGTGTAGGAAGTTATAGTATTTGGGGTAGCATTACACCGAGTCCATTCAAGGTTTTCAATTGGTCTGATCTCCACATAGTAGCCTTCGGCCTCATCCTCTACTCCTTTTATTTCTTTGGGTTTTATCCAAGCCAGAGAAAATGTGGTGTAATTGGAGGATGTTAACTTCAGGTCTGTCACTTTGCCTGGGGGATCTGCAATTACAGTAATGAGACGTTATTGGCTGAGCATTACAATGCTTTTATAATAACTTAAAAGGCGACATAGAGCATAATGTTGAGCAGCATGTCAGTTCACCATTAAGCATGACTGGCATAATTTTCAGTGGAGAGAACTGTGGTAGGAAACAAGAGTTCAGTGTTACTGGCTTACTCTTTGGATCTCTTGCAATTACTGTGTCAGATGGAAGACTTGGATCTCCAGCACCAGATAGGTTGATAGCAGACACCCTAAATACATATGCCGCCCCTTCAAATACATCTTTCACTGCATATTTTGTATCTGTGGAAAAAGGAAGAAATCGTTATCATGTCGATAGGGAATGTTCATTTACTTTTGGCGAATCATATCAGGCATTACATTTACACTGGATTCTTCCTGCAGCTAGCCATACGTTGTATACCTGGAATCGGCACTCCTTGGTTTACAAGGCTCCAGTAATTGGTGCCTTTCTTGTTTTTTTCCAAATGGTATCCCACTATTTTGGTTCCTCCAGTGTCACATGGAGGACACCATGTCAGATTGATGCAGTCTTTAAAGGCACTGACTACTTTAGGTGCTGCTGGGGATCCAGGATAACCTGTGAGGGGAACATGACATTTTGGTCATCCTTTTTCTGTAATGGTGTTTTATTGATTAATGGTCCTCCAAAATACAAAAAATAAATCACATTTTTTTTCTTGTTTCACTTTTTACCTGCTTCCCGAGAAGTTGGGAGTTTTTCATTAGACAGCAGCAGCCATTACAAAGCCTAAATGATGTTTGACTTACGTAACACACCAGCTGGTATGTCCTCAGTCTGCAGGTATTCACTGATGCCTTCTGCGTTCTTGGCTCTGATCCTGTAACAGTATCTCCTTCCGGGTGTCACATCTGAATCTCTGTAACTTGGGTTGCTTCCAGGAATCTCACCGAGATTTGTCCATTTATTGCGCCCTACTTGTTGCCGCTCTAAAATATAGTTTGTGACCGGGCATCCACCATCGTCTTTTGGCGGTTTCCATTTGAACTCAACAGATGTAACAGCGCTTTCCATAATGTCCACAGGTCCTTGTGGTGGTGTGGGTTTGTCTGTTGATAAAAATAAAATAAATCATACTAACCTTTATCTCCTTACCTACAGTACAATGTGGAACACATGGCATTATGTCTCTTATTGGCAACTTACCCAGCACAATAAGTTTGGATATTGCCTCAATTATACCGTATTCATTTTTGATTTTGATTTTGACCTCTCCACAGTCTTTCCTTTGACACTTAAGAAGGCGTAGTTTGCTCTCAGTATCTGATGTTTCAATTTTCACATTGAGAGCGGGCAACAGCTCGTCACCATCCTTGTACCACTGTATGGTCATTGGCGCCCCACCTGAGAATGGCAGTTTCCATTCTGCATTTTCGCCTGCCCTTATAATGACTGGCTCTGAGAATTTTCCTAGTGCATCGGCATCGATTTTCGGTGGATCTTCAATGTTAGAGAGAAAAGTCTTGTCAAAACCGCAAACCTTTTTAAACCATTGGGTAATTTATAAATTGATACCATGCTAATCATTTTCATGCTGACCTTGAATATTGAGTGTTGCCTCAGATTTACGGCCTTCAGCTTCAAAGCGGTACACAGCTCCATCATCTTTTTTACAGCAATCAATTATCAACCTATGACAGGCTCCATCTTTGATAATTGTTACCCCATCCTCCTCGGTTAGCTTGTCACATAACAAGATTTCATATTTATCAGACCACATTTGGACTAATAAGGGTATGCCATGCACTATAACACTTGTGTGTATGATGGATCTATACGGTTATGCAAGCTAGGAAATGGTCGATATGTATGGCAAATAGCAGTGGTCCATGTAGATCTCTAAAATCGAAGTTGACTTACCAGCTTCCCATTTTTATACCAACGTCCCACAGCGGTCTCACTGCTTAGTTTGCAAGAAAGCTCTGCCCGGTCACCAACATTAGCAACCATATCTGACAGCCCACTGACAAACTGAACGCCAGTATCTGCAACAGTAAAAACAAAAGACATTTAGAACATGATCTTAATGACTGTGTGCATTGTATTCATCCATATGTAATTATATGCGTTGTATTCGTCCATATGTAACTGTATGCATTGTATTCCTCCATATGTAACCTCTTGGGCATGGAAAGCAAAGACCAGGGGCCTCATTTATAAAGGGATATACGCTCAAAAAATGGCGTACGCCAGTTTCTACGCAATGTTTGCGATTTATAAAATACTAGAAAAAAATACGAGAAAATGTGCGGTCCTCCACGCAAACTCTAACCCATGCGTACGCACTAAGCACACAAACGGGAGAGACGAGAAACTGCGACACCGTTGGCAGAAGGAAGAATGGAGAGAAATATGTGGAAATAATACCATAAATAAAATGTTACCTCTCATTTATCAAATATGAAGAATTCATTTTCAAACATTGATTAAAGCCAATCTTTAAATGATTAAAGAAACGCCTGTTTGAGACTCCTCAGTGCACACACAAACATAACTTGGAGAAATAAATAAATACGGATATGCTATTTAAAACCACCTCGAATATGTTGTGTTAATGTTATGAAATGTTTTCTCATAAATGATGCGGTAAGCAGGAGGACAGAATTACGTCTAAACTGACGCCGTTTTGCATTTCTATAGGTTGTAGATACGAGCATGGTTTTATATACTATCACGTTTAATCGTGTTTTATGCCGTTTGCCAAGACTTGATAAGTCGCTCGTAAAACACAGGAGGTATGGAAACTAAGAACACCATATGTGGTAAATTGTACAGCTAATATAACACAACACATAAGTTGTATTTCCTTTAACTGGTGGATTATGGATATATAGTTGCTGATCGACAGCTGGAACACAAACCACCAAATACAACAAAATAATTCAGATCCAGTCGTCATGACTCCACTCCGGAGGGATTCCCCGATCATTTCTTAGAGTTTCTCATCAAGGGGGTGTCTCCTGTCCCCGGTACAAACACACTGCCTGAGGAAGGTTATGTGTATTTTTTTTGTCATTAACTTTTTTCGGACCCCTTATTTATTTATTTTGGTGACGATCCGACCTCCATGCTGCTACTCTGGTTCAAACTGCATCCACCAAACAATATGATTTATCTCTACCTCCCCACAATAACCAAAATCTGACACGGTGTGAGATGTCTTTTTTAGCTGTTCTATCGTAATTTCCTGCGATCTTCTTCATGCAGTCAGTCAAAATGAATGAATGAATGGGCGTTTCTTTGACTATGTATAGGCAAATATGGGCGTTTCGAGTCGATTGTGATTTATAAAGGGAAACAGGCGTAGGGAGTGCCGTACGCACTTCCCTCGCCGGTACGCAATGTTTTGTGAATCGGAAAATGGCGGAAAATGTATGTACCTATTTTTGTGCTTTGTACTACGTAAGCAACCTTCCTACGTCAATCCTACGCAAGGCGTTATAAATGAGGCCCCAGAACATGCTGGTTTTATTTTTTACAGAATGTCTCTCTCTAGTGGTCAACATGCAGCAATACAGAAGATCTTTCATGAGGCAGATCATAACCGAGGGTCCATTACATATATCATTTATTTGAGTTATTAGTTTGTCTGATGACCCTTACAAATTGTATTTGTCATAAAATGTCTAGCTATAGTGAGTTATATAATATTGGAATACCAAAAGCTATTTACTCCTAAAGTACTTTTATTATAATTCATAATTTCAACTCCACATCCTTGACTACTGATTTCTGACAAATTTCTAACCCTGAAGTCAATTTTATTAAAGATTCTGAATTCTGACATTAAACACTCCATATTGAACATTTTGAAGATGTTTAATTTAATGTATAGGTCTTAATGATAAACATCACATTTGTCATTACACCTTTTTCCTGTTCTTTCTTCCCTGGAGTAGAACGCTTCCTGCTGTGCAGTCACTATATTACTATTGTTAGTCAAACTTTCAGTGCTCTACCTAGGATTAATTCTGAGACCCTTGATAAATACGGACTCCAAATAGCCTTGACAATTAATATATAAGGATTTTACCTTTAACAGTGTCAGGAACCAAAGGGCCGCTTCGTACTCGCTTCTTGTTCTTATCATCTGCATCATCCCCTTTATTTCCGTCATCTCCACCTGTCTGAAGGTCCTTATCATTGCCATCTCCAGTGCCATCTGCCTCCAACTGTTCCGTGTGTTTTGGTAGCTGATCCAATGCCAGTTTAGTCAGGCCTTCTTCATTCCCAGTTCGGGTGCCCTTTTGGCCTTTACCATTTGGATCAACTGAATTTCAGAAAACACATTGTATGGAGAAATAATCATGAACTTTTCTTACATTTTTAAAACGAGAGCTTCAGAAAGTGCTCTTCCAGGTATCAAACTATCAAGACTAGAAATTGTATATATTATTGTGTTTATCAAATGATTTCCCACCTTCTACTGTGAGAGAGGCACTGCTAGAAGCTATTCCAGCAATGGCATAATATGCTCCAGTATCTGCCAATTTACAGTCTTTAACTTTCAATGTGTGGATTAGCTTGTCCTCTGAGACAGTGATCTCATATTTGTCCCCATGTTCAAGTGTCAAGTCCTTATTTGACCAGGTAATCCTGTTGAGGGGTGTTGACAAGACGCACTGAAAGACGGCTTCTTCACTTTCAAACGTCTTCACATCCTTGATCTTGGCTATGAAACCCACAGGAGGCACTAAGAGAGGAGACAAAGTGTGGATTAACTGGCCGTATTCTCATTTCTGAATGTTCCTTCAATTGTTTTGCAAACTCCTAGTACAATCATGCTTTTGAGTACAGTTGCCGTAATAAGACCCCACCTTTAAAGTCAGTTGCTAAGACATTTGCATCTTCAACATCAAGCTGGTAAAATCCAGCATCTTCTGGTTGAGGATTTTTGATGCTGAAAACATAATTTGTCCCAGTTTGCTTAAGGCTATGCTTTGAATTGTCATCATCACCATATGGAAGCAGTGTCCCATCCTGTAAGCAGAAAACAGGTTCAATTTCTCTTTTTGTATTGCTTCTTTTTGTTTTTGGCAATAATTGTATTCAAATGGTTGATCTTCAAATACTGATAACTCACCTTGTATAAGTTAATTGAACTGTTGGGATCCTGAAGTTTCATGTCGAGGCTAAATTCAGCTGTCCCATTGGGTTTTACTTCTATTTGTTTCACATTGTCCAGTTGCTCTACAACCTACAAAAATGAAAATGTTCTGTATTTTTATGTTTGAAAAGGATGCTCTGACTTTCCCTGCAGAATAAATGACGTTTTAAATTGAAGCGACCTTGAACGGAACATGGATGTTTACTTTATAAGATGCACTAGGACGTATTTGCCTCAGGCATATTAATACATTCAGAACATGGAAAAAATTACATTTTTCATGAGCCTAACACCCACCTAAAATGTTTAATTTAGTATTGAAACTTGTTTAAAACCCCACAAACTTAAAAAAAGACATAATCCAGAATTCATTTACATCTTTTATAACCTGCCTACAGCTCAGTACCTTAGCCTGCTCATCTGCCCGTTCCTTTTTCAGCTGGTTGAGTCTCTTCAGCAACCAGCGAAAGTCAAACACACCAAAGTCTGCACAGATCTTTTCATAGTCCTTCTTTGGTGCAGAGATAAGCAGTTCAAGGAGCTTTGGATCAATCTCTCCATCTTTTTTTGGTGGGAGTTGTTTTTTTCTGGTGACAACAACACTGAAAAGAGAAGAAGAGAGGGAAATATATTTGGAGTTCTGCAGCAGGAGATATTTGAAAAGCAATAACAAATCATTGAACTTGAACTTACGTTTTCTTAAGCATCTTTCTGAAATCTAATGGTGCATCTCCATTTGCTGAAAGAGAATTAAAAATGAGACACAGGTTTTCGTGATGGCAAATAATTCAACATATATAATTCTCATAATATTTATTCAAACAATGAACTGTCCTTTATGAATCTATTTAAACCCTAGAACAAACTGTTTTTCTTACTTTGCACTTTTTTAAATTAAGGCATAGGTGTTAGTATATTAGCATGTCCACCAACATTTGTATTGAAGCGAGAATTCAGTAAATGATACAATTATGTAATCTCTGTAATTCAAAAGATATGAATGCCTAATCACGCATACAAAGCATAGTTTCATACCCGCTGGAGCTTTCTTCTTAACGCCAACTGAAATGAAAACATGAAAACAAAAACAAGAAATCATAGGTAAATATTAGCTTCACAAAATATTACCATCATTTAATTGATTTACATTGAACATGTCATGGTAATAATCCGTCTTTTACCTTCAATAACATTGAGATTTGCAGTGCAGACAGCCTGTCCATACTCATTGCTGGCGAGGCATTTGTACGCGCCAGCTTGATCCGGTTTGATATTGATGATCTGATAAAGCAATATCATCATAGTTGGATTACATATTTAATGCTGAATATTTGGTAATGTCTCACATTGTGACGAATAATAAGCTTTTGTAATTGAGTACTTCGAAGTTCTCTGAGAACAAATCAAAGTTAGTAAACTTGAGTGAGCAATTACATTAAATTACAATTTTTTTATAAAATCACTAAGTTTGGAATAACAGGAAAGGGGTTTTGTGTTTTACTAGACGTGTAGTGATTCATGTAAATGCTGTTTTCTCACCTCCAGAATGTGCTCTTGAGATCTTTGATCATATCTGGTCGTGTACTTTTCTGGCTCATTGAGCTCGCCGTTATTCCGCGCCCATGTTACAGTGGGTGCCGGCTCACCACTAACAATGGCTTTGAACAATCCTTTTTTGCCTGAAAAATCCAAACAACAGTGATAGCTTTGTAGAGATGGTGTTTGATGAAGATACAATGTTGTGGTTGTTTGTTATTTACCCTCTTGAGCAGTCACAGCCATTGGCTTGCGGGTAAAATCAGGTGTGGTCTTTCCTGCAGGTAATATCTCCAGATACTGAGTGATCATCACCCCGGGAACTCTGGACCTTTTCTTTATAGCCACTGTTAGGATCAGAAAATTAGGTAAAACTCATGTGTGAGGTTTTTGAAGCAAACATAGGCAACAGAAAAAGTAAAGCAAATGTTTTTAAATGCTTGGAAAATCACGTCATGACTTGAGACCTTTATTCAGAGTCTATCGTTCTAACATGTAACTGAATATGGTTAGAAATGTGTGTTAAGCATTATGACTCTTTCCTAATTTATATTGTGTTAAAACCAGTTATATTATCTGTACAGTCACACACAGTCATGGTCACATCAGAAGACATTATTTGTGCTTTTACTTATTGCTGCAGTTAATCTACAATTTCACTAGGGGTCAGTATTTCCTTTCACTTGGTCAACTATTTCAGCTGCATCATGACAAGGTCTGAAATGTCTACTTTGATAATTAAGAATTTTCATTAATTAAGCAACAGTTGTATGGATAAAGCGGTATGGATGGAGCATTTAAGGTGATGTATTTGATGATATAACAACAGTCTGTGATGACAGATTACATTAGGTTGTTTACATGATGTCTGGGTATCCTTTTGAAAGTTCTGGTTAGTGTGTGGAGTGAGGAGTTAGTTTAGCGTTGTGTGACAGATAGCAGTATCAGTATACAAATATTATTATAAAACAATACGACAACACATTGATAATATATAGCCAAATTATCATTGTCACAATTATGTAAGCTAATAATATAATAATCATCATGACGTAAATTACCACCATGGACTAACGTGTATACTATTAAAAAAAAGTATTTGAAGTGCACTGTCACCCTTGGAAACCATTAAAGTTCCTCCTGTGTCAGTGGAGACAGTATTAAAGAGATGGGTGACACATTTTGTAAGCCTTATTCCTTTTTAATATTCAACCATAGGATGACTCGGCACAGACAAGTGAGTTCATCAAACAGCTTTTAAAATCAGAAACTCTGACCTGCCATCTGTTACTGCTTTTCCTTAAGCAGCATCACAACTAGCAATGACTCAGAGCTTCTTCGTTCACTATGAGGCCTTAGAGCATGACTTTACTGCTGCATAACACAGAAAGGGCAAACAGCTAATTACTGTGTGCAGAATCTAATGTTTCCCACAGCTGTTGTTAACTGTAAATTCTTGAGCCATATGGCACTATTGTAGTCTAAGGATTTATACTATTTTTAGAATTATCTCTTATATACTTCATACCACATACCATAGCAACACGTTCAGATATAGTTATATATATATATATAAGAAATGACAATCTGGTTTTCAAAAGGAGTCAGTGGCCAGTGAGCCATTTTTAGAGAAAAGTTATTTAGACAAATACCAGCATTGACACAACTTATGATTATAAAATGACTCTTCAAGCTATATATTCACTTTAGAATTCATATGTTAATATTCTGCTAGGAAAACTGCTGTAGTTGCACCAATTCACATGGAAACATATGTAAGAGGCAAGTGAAAATGTTATGGAAAGACAAAATGAAAAACAAATTGAATTCAATAAAAAATCACAACTTTTCAGTTCCCAAACAAACATATGAAATAAATTATTTTGACAATATGGGAATGCAACAACAAAGTGTATTTCAAAGAGAAACCATATCCTGCTCTCTCTTGAATAAATAATTTGCATGAACACACAGAAAGCCAAGGATTGACTTATTATTGTAATACTTCCAAGTGAGTTATGTTTAGGTTACCCATCCTTCATCACGTTTAAACAGCAGCCCTTCTCCAAATAGAGGGCATACATTGCATATTCATCATACTCTATGCGTCATCTCCCAGGGGATTGGTTTACACTCTTACAGTATATCATCTGAATGCAGGCAGGATTCCTGCTCCTCTGGCATTGATTCACACATAATCCAAGTCTGGTAGGGAAGCAGTCAGGCGTAGCATACCAATCACTGCTGAGGAAATGTTAGATTTGGGCACCAGCAGTTCTCAGGACACCTTCAGTACAAATGTGTCAGCATTCTAGAGCTGATGTACCTTTCATAAAGCACATTCAGCCAGCAACACTAGGCCTCTACAACACGTGTGAATGCTTTCAGACAGTCTGGGATCGTTTTTCTTGGAGGTAAAAAGGAAATTGGTAAACTTGTTTTCCTTCATTCCATTATAGAGTTATTTTCTTATTCAGAAGTACTATGTCTGATGTCAAATGAAGTTCAAATGCATGTTTATTACTTTTCCTCTCTTTTGGTTAGGTTTATGCCAATGTGTGTAAAGTATAGGCCATTTAAACAAAATGGTAGTCTATAACAACCACTCCATATTTCCTTGGACAATAAACAAAACACTCAACACATTTTGCGAACTTACCCTGGGCATTTGGGCCCTGGTTAGTTTTCAAACTCATTGCAGCGACGTCTGATGTTTCTCAACTCACAGATTTGATCACTTTGTAGTGGAAACACACCAGCCTGGAACACACCAGAATCACAATTGTATACCAGTTTTTTCATTGTTTACAGTTTTTACAAAGTTGACATTTAATCGTAATAGAGAACGGTTGTTCCATGTTGATCTGATCCAGTGGAAGTCTGAAATACACTCTGTTCTCTGATGAAGACAAATCATTATTTACATTTGAGTTTTATTCCAAATGTCAATAAACTTGAATCATAGTTACATTTTGATAGATCTTAACATAACCTTAGCAATTTTCTTAAATGTTGTTTTCCTTAAGAGACAACTTTGGTGAAATTGGTAAAGAAAAGTCTTTCTTAGTCTACAAGGATGTCTCTTCTTTTAAAATTCTTATTACTTTAAACTTTTGTAAACAAAGTTTAAGTAAGATTGGAAGCTGATAATGATAATGAGTTAAGACAAAAATATTCACATTTTATAAAATGGAATTATATGCATTTTAGCTTAGAAAATTACTTGGATAATGAATCCATTATGATAACATTTGTCTAATTGATAATTCAACTATTGTTTCAGCTCAAATTTAGTAATATCAAACTCATGTAAGATGTGCTCCCCACACAGTCACAAGTATACTCCCATGTCCCATACAGTCCCATGACTCAACTTTAGTGCTGGGGTCACAAGAACCTGGCGGACCCAAACATGGGGGCATGGACCAGTAAAGGTTGAGACACCATGCCTTTGAGGTTCTCCTCGTGTGTCATCTATGTTACCATATGACATCAGCCTGTCAAAGTGGGGATGCCTGACTCCAACGTGATTCGTGCAGACACTCTGAGACATGCTGGGACACAGTAAATCGGGAATGTGAAATCCCACCTAGTGGCTGACTCTGCCCAACTGCATATGGAGACTCGTGGCTGTGCCAACAATTTAACTGCTCAGGATCCAAACTTAGACACGAGCAGAACGTCTTCGAAATCAAACTGCTAAGCCAACGCACGTATCTGTAAATCTCTTTTATGCCACCAATTAAACATTATGATTTGCCCAGTCGGGTGTCTGGTTGTTTACTACCAGCAAAGGAGTGAAAATGTAACCTCAAACTTCTTGTCCTGAATGTTTATGTTGTTGTTATTTGTGTTGGTAGATGAAAAGCACTAATTGTGAACTGTGAAATTTAAAAACAAAACCTCCGCATATAGTTAATAAGAGATACAGTATATTTTTTAACAAGGCTTTAGAAAGATTCTAGAGATTACTTAGACCTACTTTGACTGTCGCTAACGAGACCGTTATGTCAAGTATCAGTTGATAGCAATGATCAAACAACTCTTTATGGTCATTTAAATCTAAAAGTTAAATGATCTTTTATTTATCATAGTGCTGAATGGAATTTTATTTGGCTGTACATCAAAAATAATGACCATAAGGTTATTTCATTGCCCTTTAATTTGAAGGACCACCAGAGGAACATTAAAATTGTGAAAAAGGATACGTGACCTTGAACATCTATAAGCCAGAGTAAAAATAATCAAGGTTTTAATGTGTAACACATCCTGTAGTGAAAACTGATCATAGTCTCCTGCTCAATCCCTTGTTAGTCATGGGGAGCTAGTTTAAAGGTCACATTCATGGGTGAAATATGTCACAACAGATCCTAAACATCAGTATAACAGGATGTTTTCAAGAGGTCCATACATTATTTTACTGCTTTTACAGGGCATACAAATTCTGCCATTTCCACTGCAATCATTCTTAAATGACACAAAGTAAGTACAATTTTAGGGTTTACTTTACATCACAGTTCCTGCTACTGAGCCTGTAGCACTACATACAGTATAGTATATTTAGCTGATTCTGGTTGTTGTGGCCCAGGTAAGAAGTGAGGCTGTGCTATCATACAATCCACTTACAATTTGTAAGAGTAAAATAAAAAAGAATTATGCAGGTCTTTAAATATAATCAAAAACTCTATAAAAAGCCGATAAACCCAATCTAATGGTGTACATAATTGATGGTATTCATAAACCCACTTTAATAACTTATTATTCTATTTGTCTTGAAGTAACCTAGTGTAATAAATAAGAAATGTTTAGAACTAAAAAATGTATTTGATATGGTCTACTCTGTACTGTTCGTCATATTGACCTCTCTCAACAAGTGATGCATTTCTGTTGTCCCATATTGTACCTCTGGTAGACTAAAGCTGTCCTGTATGAGGGTTTCAATCACACCATGTGACCTTTTGGTCAGTAGATCATTTTAATGAAATACAGTATGTTGATAGTAATTTAAAAAATCAATCGGACTGACTTTCAGTTCTTTGTTTCTATCTTCAACTATCCTTTTCCAAGCCTGTACAATATTTTAAAGGTGACACCCCAATTTGATCGGTGATAAAAGTTTGAAGTGCAGTGCTAAAAACCCATATTACAGCAGTATAAGGTAGAGGTTCCTCTTACCCATCTCTATGAAAGCGATCACTTTGTAGTTCTGGAAACACATTATTTTAGGGTTTGCTTTTAAAGATATCAATCCTGTACCTGTGGCACTACACAAGTTATTGTAAAGAAGATTAATTTAATGGTAATTATTCACACAGAAGGGAGTTAAAAAAATAAATCGTACTCACTTTCAGTTCTTCGTTGTCTATCTTCCTCTATCCTTCTTCCGATAGAACAGTTCTCACTGTCCAATATTTTAAAGGTGACACCCCTTTTTGTTCGGTGATAAAAGTTTGGGGCGCATAAAAACCCATACATGGGTGAAATGCAGTTGCGAAAAACCCATATTACAGCAGTACTAAAGGGTGGAGTTTCCTCTTACCCATCCCTATAAAAGCGATCACTTTCAGTTGGCACTGGAAATACATTATGACTGTTCATTCAATCTGGTATTATTGGACATATCCAGTCAACAGTTTTCCGCCAATACTGTTGACAATATAAAAACAACAGGTGCATTATATACCAATATCGAGATTTAAATTCCGTCAAATTTAAACAAAGATGAATTTTAGATGGATGTAACTGAACCTATTTGTTGATAGTTGAAGCATATGATTTATTGATGCACAATAGCGTTGCAAGGGTCAAAGCATCTTCCTTTGGATGCCCTACAAGGTCTCTAGTAATTGGATCACTTTACTATTGACTTTATTGGCCAATAAACTTTAACATGAGACATTTTACTTGGTAAAATAATCTATGGTTGATATGAATGAATTGGCTTTCCAATTAGATTCCAAAGGTATCAACGGAAATCCTCACAGCATGCCTGTGGTTCGGTGAGTCACACTGGACCTGTGGTAGCATTATAAAAAGATGTTGCTCATAGTGTGCACCGTGCACCATGCACTGAGCAGGTTTTTGTGTTCACATTGTCAGAGGTTAAACAAGCGTGACTTATGCAGAGAGTTTGAATAGTCACCCAACCTCATAAAAGAGACTTAACTGCAAGAAAAGCCTGAAGGGACGAGTGGAGAATAAACACAGATATCACCTCTGACCTGGCAGAGGAAAGAGGTGAGTACAAGTACATTCAAAACCTGCTAAATATTTCAGGAAAAACAAATTGGAATTATTTAAAACGTTTGCTCTTAGGGGTAAGTATAATTCCTTGAAAAATAAAACAGGCATCATGGCTATATGTGTTGGATCAAAATGTCAGCCAAGATCCAGCAGCAATGTTTTTTAAAAATCACATTCATTTCTGTTGGCCTTGTCAGAATGGCCTCGTATAATATAGTATGTATTGTGAATGTATCTGTTCGGTTTTTATTTTGAAGATATAAGTACGAGCAGGTTAATGGTTTGTTATTTACAGTCTTGAGCTGTTGGACTGTTCAACTGTAGATTTAACAAGGACTAATTTAAGGTTTGCAGCTAAGTATCTCGTCCTAGACAATTTACTGGGGAGCTTAGGTATATATAAATATACTGTGTATGGAAATGCAATGAAAATATGCACTCGGTCCATGGGGGTTTAATGTGTTTCAGTGATGTGCTTGACGCCACTGACTGAGATATTTGAGCCTTGTGTTACTGAAAACACATGCTGGAAACATCTGATGCTTTAACGATGGCCAATGAGTTTTATTCTGTCAGCAAAATCTGTCAAGAATATAAGAAAAGTAATAGATAAAGGAATAATCTAGTGACAATAGAAGACCAAAAACACGTTACACAAAGTTGTCTTTTTGTTGATTTATTGCAGTTGCTACAAGAGAAAAAATGTTGACGGATGTCTTTGTCATCGAAGTTTGTCACTTCAATCATGCTAAATTATTATTATTTCTGATGACAAGATAACAATTGTAAATCAGTTATATTTCAAAATAAATAAAATAAGTTAGTACTGCATTCAAACCATAAGACAGGGCTAACACTTGTAAATTAATCGCATTTCAAAACAAAAACACAAGTTAAACCATTACAATTCTGGTTATATTGTTTTGTAAAGTGCTGGTGAAACTAGCACTTTACAAAACAATTTCACACACTTTTAATGTATTCTATGCAGTCAAACAAAACATTCCACACCCTTATCCAGAATATCTCAAAAAGAGGAACAGCTGCATGGTCTTGATGCCGTTTTATTCTGTAAAGAAAAAGCAGACAACAATAGTCATTATAAGAATAAACAAAACTGGGTTTTCTGAAACAATTGAAACTCTTGAGTTAAACCTTACCTCTCACAATAAGTTTCGTAGAACACTCTGCTTGTCCAAGTGAGTTGAGTGCAACAACTCTGTAATCTCCGCTGTCTATTGATCTTACTCTGAGAATGTAAATGGAGCACACACCACATGAGTTGGTGATGTAGTAGTTTTTATCTGAGTTGATGCAGACGTCGTTCAGGTACCAGGCTACAGTGGGTCGAGGGCATCCTCTGACGGCACATGTCATGTAAAGTTGGTAGCCTTTAGGTGGTGTGTGGACTTTCAGAGGAACCAAGATAGATGGAGGCCTCTCAAAGCTGATCTCTGACGAAACAACTCCATATGAAGATACTGGAACTTGATGAGAAACATGAAAAGAGGAAAATTGTTTCAGACTTTTGCTTGCATAACCCAAGTTTGAAATAAATAAACATGTAGGGTTTTTGCAATGCTCTTTCAGAGATTTCAGTGCTCCATTATTGTGATTATACTTTGGAAGTAAAAACAAGACTGTCTACAGCCATGCTAGCAACTTTAGTAGGTTTTATTTAGTCTTATCTCAACAATATGCAATGAAATAGATGCATGGCAATCCATCCAATATTCTGTAAATGTTTTGATCGATTGACTGACTGACATGTCCTTGTTGGTGTAAAAGCTCTATACATCTATAACCACCACAATATATTCAATCTCTTTTAAACTGTTTGGCATGTTATTAGTGCACCAGAGCTGGTAGGAAGCATGTACAGTACGTAAACCACACTTTAGGCTATATGGGAACATAGACTGTTGGAAGGGTGTGATTGTTCAGAAGTCTAGTTTTTGGTCGTTTTAGTAGTTAATGTATTCCGATAATAAAGACGCACATTTTTACAAACACACAGAAGCTAGAATATTCTTCTAGCATTGAAGTTAGCTAATGTGTAATGGAATGATGATCAAGCCAATCGTAAACAAACACAAATCAATAATTAAGTTGGAAAAGATGATTATATTCTTATCTAGTGCGAAGAATGCAACATTTGTTAAGTAAAATACAACTTTTTACGATTACATTTACACTTTTCAAACCTTGTCAAACATCCTAAACTGGAACAGCTAGTAATACCCACCTCTGTTGCTGTTGGCACCCCATGTGGGAGACTCGGATGGATCTGAGAGTCCCATGTCATTCTTGGCGTAGACCCGGAAATGGTACTCTCTCCCAGGATAGATTTTGCTGGCTGTGTATGTGTTAGTGAAGAGGCGATCTGCTATATTCCGCCACACTCTGGTGTTAGAGTCGTGTTGAGACACCATGTAGTACAGGCGGTCGTCCAGCTCCTGGTCTGGAGATGGAGCCCATGAAATCATCACTTTGTCCTGGACTGTTTGCTCCAGCTCCACTGGCCCTGGAGACTTGGGTTCATCTAATAACAACACATATAACAATCTGATTATTGGCTAAGAGAAGCCAAGATCAATTGCTCTGGGCTTATAATCTTACTCAAGAGGCATTTCCTTCCCCCGTGGGATTTTGTATAACAATTGACCGCTGTTTTTAAATTAATCATATCCTATTACTGCATGTTACACAGTAAGAATTATGTTTCTCATTCTATTTAGAAGTTGTTCACAGTTAATTAGGGTTTGGCATTGGTTTACTAATACATCAGTGTGTCATTGAAGGTTTAATTGGCTAAACATTACTCAATGAATATTGTCGGGTGTCAATATTAATGATGTTTTCCTCTGACCAGGGGAACGAAATGCAGGCAAATGAGACATGAATTCCTCATTAGAAGACATGAGACTTACATGCAGTTAATATCAGCACAAAATAATTGCTATGAGTAGTTTCAGTACAAGACTTTATCTGCGCTTAAAAGTGTATCATTATTTATCCTTACCTGTGACTCTAACCTCAATGTCAAATGAAGCTTCACCAACTGAGTTTTTGGCATGGATAGTGTAGATGGCTGAATCTGAGCGCTTTGATGAGGGAATAACAAGCTGAGACATTCCCTCTGTATTGATGACACTAATCCACGGGGATATTGGCTCATCATTCCTCAACCAAGTGATCTGAGGTGGAGGTTCACCCTGGAGATATCAATATTGGATAAATTAGATAAAGTGTGAGACCTTCAATATGCAGTCACGTCACACTATAGTAAACTCATCACTCAAGAATATGACATTCCTGCAATGGGTTATTAAATGAGTGAAAAAAGATAGATTTAGGATTCACACCATGGAAGAAAGACGCTGTATACACACCAGCTTTTAGGCTTGTCCTTACCTCATAGCAAATGTTCACACGTACAGAGTTTCCTGCTCTGACAACAATGAAGTCCTCTGGGTCTTTAAAACAAGGTCTCACTGGAAGAAAACACATTAAACATGACATGCTGATGGAAACAAACATTGTTCTGGATAGCAGAGTTAAATAATGAATAGACACAACAGAGACAGTTAACAACTTACTGTTGGGATTCTTTGCACACACCATTTCAGAGGGGGGACTTGGATCTCCCGCTCCTGACTCATTGATCGCTGCAACCCTGAACTCATACTCTGCTCCCTCAGTAACATCTTTCACTGCGTAGTTCACATCTGAAAACACAATTATTGCCGTGCAGGACACAATGAAATTAAGCACATTTTTATTCAATCAAAAACATAATCGTATGTTTGTCTGACCAACCTTCAATAGGTTCATTAACTGCATTCAGGGCAATCCACTGATTTGTATCCTTCTTTCGTTTCTCCAATTGGTAACCGATGATTGGTACTCCTCTGTCGTCCTCAGGAGGGGTCCAGTTCAACGTGATGCAGGTCTTGGTGGCACTCACCACTGTGGGGGCACCGGGTGGACCGGAGAGAACTAAGGAATAACAAGAAGTCCAATTAATTAAGTAAGTTCATTATTAATAATTAAGAAGTAATTAAAGACATTGAATACATTAATGACATCCACATCACTAAAGGGCATTTACTTACTACATAGGGCAAAGTTTACATCAATGCTACAATGTGGGCTTTCTACAGTGACAATGTAGTGCAACTATACAGAGGCATTTTCATTTATTACACCCTGAGGGAGATTAACATGGTATTCGCTGAGGAATGCTAAATGAGACTTGTTTTTTTTCTTTTCTCACTCAATATTCCAGCCATAATGCTATCAGCCGTCTCCAGGGAGTCGCTGACGCCCTGTGGGTTTTCTGCGTAGATGCGGTAGTTGTATATCTTCCCATGAACCACATTCCTATCTCTGAAGGAGGTCTTGTCAGCTAAGACATCGCCAAGTTTCATCCAGTGACTTTGCCCTTCCTGCTGACGCTCTATAAGATAGTTGGTGACAGGGGAGCAGCCATCGTCTTTGGGAGGGTTCCATTGAATCTCAATCATGGTTGACGTGCTTTCAACAACTTCCACTGGACCCTCCGGTGGACCTGGTCGATCTGTGACAAAAAGATTGGGTAACATTTAAAATGTAATTATATAAAGTATAATTAATATGATGCTTATCTGAGGTAGCTATTTTCATCGATATCTTCAACGATGACATGTTTTTTATTTGACGCATGTCTGTCATTTTGAAAAAAGCACATGATGAAAGGCTTGCTCCTCGGTGCATTGATCGCTTGCAGGATCGGTAAATACAATGTTTAGCGAGTCCTGCTGACTTCTGATCGATTTGTGTGAGAATTTTTCCGACTTTCAAACTTTAGCTGAAGGGTCCCTGGTAATTCATAATCTCCATTGTGAAAGATGAGCTCAATTAGTTTAGCTTTTGGAATAAAATCAAAACGGCCATGAGAAGTTGTATATCTGAGGAAAAGGCACCAAAAAATATGTTTGTCAAATTATTCACATTTCCTATTTAGGTAAAATGGCTGGTTTATTTTTAGTGTAAACACAAGAATAAATGTAATGTACTTTATGTAGGTTTGAGAATAAAAGTCGAACCCACTTCAGACTTCAATATTTCTCATCATCTTTTTTCTCCATGCGCTTATACATTCAAGTATATTTATTACAAAAAATCGTATTAGTGAATTATTATTAAGTGCTCTTATTTTATAATCAATAAAGAATAAGAATGACAAAACAATACATTTAGACTGAATTTTTGACACAACGTAAGCCCTGATGATTAGTACGTTCACATTTGATGTGTTATGTGTTGGCTGTGAGTGTAGGGGCAAACGATTACTGCAAATGTGATCTTTTTATCCGTCAGTATTTCTCACTTTTCTTGTTGGATCACTTTTTTTTCTTACCAAGCACAATAAGCCTAGATGTGGCCTCCACAGCCCCAAATGGGTTTTTGAGCTGGATCTTTATTTCCCCCGCGTCTGTCCGCAGGCAGTCTCTGAGCAGCAGCCGGCTGTGATTGGGCTCCCTCACGATCTTTACTCCTCCTCCGTCATTGAGCTCAGCGCCATCCTTGAACCAACTAACCACCAAACCCTCCTGAGGAGTCAAGGGCATCTTGAAGGCAGCGTTCTGCCCCACTCTTACGATCACAGGTTTGGAGAATTTGTGAAGGTCATCTGGGTCAAATTCAGGTACGACTATGAAGCACAAAAAATAATTCAGTTTACTCCACAGAAACTATTGTGGCAGTTACTATATGTTCTGCTACAGAGGGATGTCATTTCTACCTCCAACAGTGACTTTTCCTTGTGTACTGACACTCCCTGTTTCAAAACGATAAAGTCCTGAGTCGTCCTCACTGCAGCTTCGAATCGACAGGTTGTGAGAGGTTCCATCTTTGGTTATTTTGACCTCAGAACCTGAGTTTAACTAGCACATTAAAGGTGAAAAGGAAACTTTATTTGTTTGTGTTACATTATCAAATATGCAAAGAAATCCCTTAAAATATTGTACTGCTTATAGTCCCAAACTACTTACTAATTACTAAGTCAGGGAAAATATCAATCTCTATAGTTTTCATATTGTAAGCGTGTTGTTATCAATGGGCTCTACCTGCTCTCCATCTTTGAACCAGGAGCTGTCGCAGTCAATGTCGATCTTCACTGTTAAGTCAGCCGGATTTCCACGAAGAACATAGACGTCAGACAGCGTGCAGGTAATTACAGGCTCTGGGGAACATTGAGAATAAAGTTACTCCTCTGCTGCACGCAAATTAGTCTGCAGAAGCTTTCAGTTTACGACTACATATATACTGATAAAACTACACATTTACAATAAAATAAATCAATTACCTACACATATGCTTCAAATCCTTCCTTATAAATACACTTAAAATAAAAATAGGTTCTGTAAATGTTACGTCAAAATCAATTTCCTACAATAAATAAAATCATAGTTCTTAACACTAAGAAAAAACGTTAATGTAACTGTATAGCATTCGTTTAAAGGTTTGTGAATTCTACCACTGTATAAAAAGTGAGACACTTTTACAAAATATGTCTTGACACATTCAAATAACCAACCTACTGACTGTAGTGCAATGTTCAATTGTTACATTAGGGTGATCTGGTTAGAACATGTAGGATACACAAGACACACATCAAAAGCCAACATGATTACAAGCAGCAAACTGTGAAAGCTTTGTTAACAGAAAAACAGTGAGCTCACAAGACTTTTTAAGAAGACATCAACACATTTTAAATTAGTATAAGTATTATATATATATATAAAAAAATAAATCCATGTTATTTATTATTGAATTCCCTCTCAGTTCTAATTTTGCAGTCTAAATTAGAGAAAACAATGTAAATTTACACAACCAAGATGTTAAAGAGAATACGATAAATTGATTAGATATAAATGTGTTAACTTTGAAACTATATTTTGTTACTAGTGCAAACCGTAATTCTTCTGCATGACTTAATGCAAACAATTAGTTTTTTTTTTTAAATGTGTTACTTTTGTTCTTTCAGTATTCACTGTCTGGCATACCAGCTCCTGCATCTGCGAGTGGTGGGTCAAGTCTTTTATCGGCAATGTCTTCTTCAGCTGAGCAGCATAACAATAATAACATTAGTATGTCTATTAAACTCCATTTAAAAAAATGACTCCTTCGAATTTGATATGCTCGACTGTGTCTCTCTTACCACTTCCAGAGTCTCCAGCTGGTGCTGGTGATGTTTTGTCTGAAACATTGTATCCAACATTTGAGATTTTTTATTAATTAATTTCATTTAGACACATAAAGCTTGTTATGTTTTAGGGTCATAGTCTTTAGAATGTTTTAGTGCATTTTCGACAGATCATTTACACTTACTCTTCTTTTCCGCAGCATGCCATAGCCGCAAACATAAACATTTGCACGCTTTGATAAAATAATTTATTTAATTAGTCTTTTTAATTATGTTAATATCTTCTTACAGTATTCACTATCTGGCATACCAACTCCCACATCCTCTACTGGATCGAGTCTTTCAGCGCAAGTGGCTTTTTCAGCTGAGCAGCTTGACAGCAATAACATTAGTAAGTCAATTTAACTTTTGTTTTGATATAGTAAATTATTTATTATTTTTGATCGACTGTTGTCTCTCTTACCACTTGCCGACTCTCCAGCTGGTGCTGGTGATGTTTTGACAGAATGACCTAAAGAACATTTGAGATTTTTACCTTTTAATTTGTGTTCATGAATGTTGTAACACAGGAAACTTTCTACAAATCTCGTACAGTCATAATTACTCCTTACCATATTGCAAAGCAGGCCCCTGTGGCAAACTCTATTCAATGTTTTTGTAATTACAGCAGGCCATAGGGTTGTGGAGTTGGCTGATTCTAGGATATGCTCCTTTGAAAATGCTCTTTTTATAGTTTTCAAACAGTGTTGTGGGCTTGAGAGAGATGGGTTGATTTTTGATCCATTTCAAGTAGTTACATGTTTTATTGTGTCGCAGAGACCTTACTTTTGAATGTAAAGATCATGTCTGTATGAATAACTTTCAACAGGTCTGCACATACACAGGCACTAAAGTAATAATAGCATTAACATAAGAACAAACATAATACTGAGACCGATCAGCTATCACTAGCCATATTGAGTTACTTAATACAAAAATACAAAATAAAGCGTGCTTTAAAAACTAGAAAAAAAGAAAAGAAATTGAGCTGAAACATCCGTAAGCTACAGTGTGGTATGGTTGCTAAAGGGAAAACAACTTTTAAATCAAGTTCAATCATATCTCATAAAGTGAATGGATGCAAGCTTTAGAGAGTAAGTTGTAACGAGGTATACAAAATCTGCATCTATTCATCCGTGTTGCAGTATTTAGGTCATTTGAGCATTTCTCAGTACACTAAAGACCACATTATACAGCTATGTAGAAACAAGACATGCTTAGCATATTGGCAGCTAATCTAAATGAGCTAAATACAATCAGGCAAAACCTGACCTTAAGGAGACAGACAATCACATAATGAGCAGACAACACAACAGAAAAAAAAGCCAAAACATTACAGTGACCTCAGCAACGAGTAAACAACTTTGTGAAACAGATTTTATATGTCGAAGTATATCAGGATAAGAACCCTTTTACTGAAGTTTTGTATTTCAAAATGCCATAAATGTTCATAGTGCATGCAGGGGTCGTCACAGACATTCAGGTTTCTTACCAGGTTTTACTTCCTCTACCACGGGTGGATCTGGTTCCTTCACGATTTCTATCAACCATCAAAACTAGTTAGTGGTTGCCATATCAACAAATGACTACAGCAAATGCGCCCATTATTGTAATTACTTACTTTCCCTGAGACCATTTCAACTTATCAAATTATTTCAACAATATTTTGTGAAGTAAAGATGTTGCAATTAATGGAGATGAAAAATAAATAACGAAAAGGAAACACACAGAGACTAAGCCTAAAATGCAAGATTTATAACATGGCTTCCATGTTTGTGAATTCAACACTGGTTTCCATAAACCTTGTGGTCAGCTTTCTTACCCGGCTCAGGGTCTTTGGGTGCCTCAGGTTCAGGCTCTGGTGCAGCTGGGGGTGGAGGTGGAGGTGCAGCTGCAGCAGCTTTAATCTGTTCTTTTATTTCCTCTCTGTCCTTTACTAATTTCGTCTGCTGCTCTTCGGCTACCTTCTTCAGGTCCATCCCTGATCCTCCTGCCTTTGTTGTTTTCCTTACTGATTTTTTTCCCTTTTGAGCATCTTTATCGGCTGAATTCAAAAAGAAATAATATAGATCTGCTGTTAGTTTGACCTTAAAATGCCATACTATGATATGAAAAGCAATAATAGACAGGATACATCAGGCATCTTATTCTTTCTTGTTATTATTCCACTAAAAACTATTAGCGTTATTCAATATTATGAAGAGTTCGGTGAAGTATAATACCTTACCTTCAACAACAAGCCAGGCATTGCAAGACTTGATTCCCGCGCAGACTGAATAAATTCCTTTGTCTACAATCATGCAGTCTTTGACCACCAGTGTGTGAATGAGCTTGTCATCTGAAACCAGGATATCATATTTATCCCCCTGTTCCAGTGGCAAATTCTTGCCAAACCACAATGTATTGGAGAAGGGATTTGACAGGACACACTCAAAAACAGCATCTTGTCTCTCTACTGCCTTCACTTCCTGAATTTTCACCAAGAAATCCACCATGGGGACTGAAAAACAAGAAGCAAAGTATTTTAGATTAAAACTCTTGTGTTAAATCTGCCTTATTAAAACGTTTAAATCATGGCTATTTCAAGGGAAACATCAAACACAGTTGTCTTCCTTTGTTTTAATTAGGGATACAAATGAGTTGTGTGTGAAACTGTTACTTACTTTTAAAATCTGTGGAAAACATATTCACCCCCTCTACATCCAACTGGTACAGTCCAGCATCGTCTGGCAAAAGGTCCTTCATGCTGAAAATAAACTTTCTCCCCACTTGTTTAAGGGTGTGCTTCATCTGTTCTCCCATGTCCTTTGTATAAGGAACCATTACACCATCCTGCGGGGCAAATATACGATTTACATAATATCCTTTTGGAATGCTTTAAAAAGAGTTGTGCTTGATAACGTATTTTTGTAGGCTGACCCGGAAGTTAGCACAAGGCAAAAACTAGCACTAGCCAAAATGCAAGGGGATTCTTCCATAGGATTTGGAAAATTGCAGAAAATAAGATCCATGGCAAACACAAGTTTATCATACTTACACGTTTTGTACAGCATATTAACACCACTGCCGGTATTTCAATCGTAAATGCAATCACCGCAGTAAAAAGCTCACGTAGGCTATGAACAAGACTTCACTGCAACACCGCTAAGCTTAAGGCTTAAGGCTGACTCGCTGTCATGGCGTTAAGTAGTCTCATTTAGGAACTTGTTAGCAACAGCCGTGTTTTCAAGTCACATAAAAGCTCCCACCATTCACAAATGGTGTATTTACTGACGCATTTGATGTCGTATAACAAAACGTGAAAATCTCATTTAAGGTTTCTAAGCAAACACTTCCAAAAGAACGTTGAATTTGAGACAAGGGAACCGGAAGTGGTAACATGCTAACTTATTTCCAGGTCTTAGGACTCTTTCCAGCACCACTCTATTGTGTCTGTAAAACATAGCTGTAAGAAATGCCCCTTTTTGACTTAAAATGGAAAGCATCATAGGACTTCATCAACAGCCATAAGCTTTACTATATACATATTCCTGTGCTGTAAATATCCTAGCAAGAAATTGTTTACTGTCAGATTTGCCCAATGATGTTGGTCCATCTGTTTAATCATCGAGGACTTATTACAGCAAAAATATTTGATTCATCTTTACAAGTTTTGGCCAGATTGCAGTTAAATGAATTCATTAATAATTGAATGAATAATTCCTTAATTCCTTTACAGTATGGCTTCTAGGATTCATAGATTTGCTGTGAGAGTTTGAATTTGTTCACACACTAACCTTGTATATGAATACGGAGCTGCTTGGATCAATAAGGTCCATATCTATCTCAAAGGATGCAGAAGAGTCTGAACTGAACTGCATTGGTTTCAGGTTGGACAAGTTTTTGATGAACTGGAACAAAAACAAAATGAAAAATTCACATGGTTACAGAATTGCTTTACATGCAATTTTTTAATGTAACTACACAGCTTCAAACTCCTTGATCAGAAAAAAAGTAAATAACACCAAAACAAACCTCAGCTTGTTCTTCCTCCCTTTCTTTCTTAATTTCATTAAGCTTCTTGAGCATCCAGCGAAAGTCAGTTATTCCAAACTCTGCACAAATCGCCTCATAGTCCTTCTTTGTAGCGCTAAGTAAAAGCTCCCAAAATTTGGGATCGATCTCCCCATCTTTTCTCTCAGGTTGTTCAGATTTCGGACGGACCTTACTGGAAATTAAAATTAGGGGGGCATTTAGTTAAAAAAAACAAAAAATCTACTGTACACAGAAGACCTATCACACACGTCATACAACCTTTTCCTTTTGAGTACATTCTTAAAATTCCCATTGATGGCCTCAGCTGCTGGTTTCTGGGCAGCGTTCTTATTGAAACCAACTGAAAGCAGGAAAGAGAGTGATCACATTATTAATACAATCATATAATTAGTCATTATACTACTGGAACTGCAGGGCGATACATTACACTCAAGGGTATAAAGTAATAAACTGTCCAAATTGAATTCCAAGTGTACTCAATTTGTAGTACACTAAATATAATCACTGTGTAATTTTCCAGAATGAATGACTCTGCGATATTACATACTACTTGATACACTATGATGAAAGCAGGCAGTACTTACCTGCAATCACATTCAGGACAACTGTGACCACGGCTTGACCAAATTCATTTTTAGCAAAGCATTTATAGGTATCAGCCTGATCCGGCATAACATTTGGCATCTGGAAGATATAAGACATGCTTCAAATAAAGACCTTTTAGGGGAAATGTGTATTATACTGTAAAGTGATTACCATTCTGTTTGTCTTTTGTTATGTAACCAAAAATAAATCAGAGCAAACCAAATATCCATTGATAATGAATTTTGGTTTTGGTTTCCTGGATCCTTTTTGGCCATTTATTCAAATCTATCCTATTCTTTTATAGTTTGTGCTCACACATCACGTCACGTCATGTATGTCAAATGAAATTATTTTTTTACCAAACTGTCCTTCGCTGATTTGCAGAATCCAATTAATAGGGCTATACATAGATATGTTTCCCTTTGTGAGAACGTGAGCATGACAGACTAATGACGGTGAACAATTAAAGGCTTTGCACACTGCTTGATTTGCAGATGGCCTCCTGATGCGTCGCCGCATGCCTTTTATTATACATTTCAATCTCAAACAGCAGTCAGTTGAAAGGTCCTCTGTTTTTTTTTTTTTATGAAACATATTTTTCAGTGTGCAGTGTTCAGGATGAGAGAAATCACCTTATTATAGAAAAAGTAATTGGCAAAGCAAACGGATGGGTCAGAAGACTGGATGGCACTGACTTGATCAAATAGCTTCCTCTTTTTCCTATTTTTAACGCCCCTCTTACATCTGTATTTTACTGTATAGTATTCCTGCAATTTGAAAACCCATTTTACTTGCCTCAAATGTATGGTCATTAGTAATGGGGTCGTATTTAGTTTGATATCTTGCTGTGTCAGACACATCTCCATTATTTCTGCTCCATGTTACTGTCGGCTGTGGGTCTCCAGTGACAATTGCTTTAAAATAAGCAAATTTGCCTGAAAAAAAAGACAAACAAGGTTGAATCATAAAATAAATTATACATCTGCAAATATACAGATACAAAAGTCGCAGATCTAATTCATGTACAGATTCAGGAAAATCCCCCTCCTTATATTTTGAGATATACATTTTTAATATAATTATTGTACTATCAGTCCTACCCTCTTGGATGGTCAAAGCAATTGGTTTGCGGGTGAAGTCTGGATGGGTCTTTCCCTCTGGCAGCTCCTCGATATACTGTGTTATCATCACCCCGGGGACGCTAGATTTTTTCTTGATCCCCACTGTCAGATTTGCAAAATGAAATGTCAGTGACAACGCATTTGACACTCAAAAAGGGAACAGAATGAAAAACACGATCATATCCAACCTTCAAAATCTATTGTTATTTTGTAATGAAATCATCACCCTTTTTCCAAACATGCTGAAGCCCGTTCTAATACATAATGTATTAGAATGTTTTTTGTTACTCGCTTTATCAGTTTATCATTCAGAGATATACGTACGTTGCTCTGGTGTATATACTTTAATCTTCAATACATTTACATTTCAATAACTTTATCCGGTCATCTGTGAATCCATGCCTAAAATTCAACCTGAGAACAGATATGTAGTGATGCACCCACATATCTACACGTACATATGTACGCATGTACGGTTTATAAATAACCGATTGTATATCAGTTCTTCATGCCTTCATGAGCAGTCAGGGGGGAAACAGATAGCTGACAGCTTCTCTGTTGTCTCCTAACCTACCTTCTCTATTCAATTCTGCATCAGGATCTGATAAGGCAAAAGTTAAAGAGCATATACATCACATGTCAGAATGGAAATAACCTTTTATTATGGATAACACTTAAACTCAAAGGTTACAAAGTTATACAATGGGATGTGTGTGCTGTTACTTATCAATGCACAACAACAAATATGATACATATCTGGTTCACAGGTGCACTGGATTAGTAACCCTGTAGAGTTCATCTGCTCCTCCAGTGTACACAGTGTTATGATCAGTCTGTATATCTAACTACTTTACTGTTAGACCTTCATATACTCTTGAAGAGTCTAAATATAGTTGCTAATGGACACATTGCAGCCTTAACGATTTTCTGAATAAAGTCTGTGATTGGAGTAGAATCACAGGGAAAGGCTCCTGAAGTCTTTATGACTGAGATGTAGCCTTTAAATCAAATCAAACTTTATTTTTTAAGTATCTTTCACACACAAAGGGTGACACAAAGTGCTAATAAAAAAGAATAAAAAAGAAATACTACCCCCACCTCCAAGGTAAAAACATAGTAAGGCATAACTTTAAGCGCTGCAAATAGGAAGTAACTTACGTTTCGAGACATCATACAGACATAGGAAATAAGCAAACAGTGTGAACCTTTCTTAGATTTATTCTCAAGTAGATCTCCTCGCCAACCTCATTCTATCAGTTCTGTTAGACTCTGATCTGGGAATATGTCATTTTATTACTTTGTCGAGAATGTTGGAAATCAATCTCACTGAAACCTGCCACCGCTGTGCTTCTAATTGATCATCAGAGTTAGGAGGAAAAGAAAAAAGTACATTTGATAGAAGACGTTTCTCCTGTATAAAATGTGATGCATACCTTGGCCAGTGGCCGACACATCCGCCACTTTAGATTTTTTGAACATCTTGAGTCCTTTGGTTCCTCGAGAGATTCAGCAAGATTTTCTCAACTGCAATAGATAATAGAAGCGATTAAAGTCAATGTGGCTCGTCTCATTGACAACATCACAATTAATAATTGACTGGTAGCTTCCAGGAGTTATTTAGCTTTAAAGTTGTTGTTGGAAGAGAGTGTATTTGTTTAGGTATTCAGTTTCAGCAGCACAAGCCCTGCCTGGCAGTCACAATTGATGTCAGGAAACAACTCTAGACTTTGTGAGGTTTGACTTACACTGATTCCTTAGTGGATCATCTTATGCATAATAATTCAGTGTTTGGCTGAATTTGCAAATGTACTCTTCCAGTTCTTAGTTGGGATATTGGGGATATAATAGAGACATTTCAAATTCCTTTGAGTTATACTTGGATTAGTTACATTTTATTTTGGTTGTTGTTAATTGTTAAGATAAGCAACAACCTGGAGAGACTTATAAGGGAAACGCATACATTCAATAAAGTTAAGAATGTAACAGCTTCTCTAAAACAGGAATTAAGATTACGAATTAAACGGGGAAGCAAATGTTTAACCTGTCAAGAATGTTTTTTTTATTGCACTGGCTAACATTTAGCTTTGGCCTTCATTCATCTGCAGACTCAGACTACAGTAAAATACTCAAAACATGATCATCTGTGGCCGCACGCCATGCAGCTGCTTTTTCAATGCTGTGTTATCAAATTTCCCAACATTTAAATCCTCTTTAAATTTGACTGGAGTCTAGTATTTCTTCAACATCGTGATTTGTAATTTCTTACCAGGCTTTAAATGGATACTTCTGATTTGTTTTCAGTCAGCGTATAACTAGTCTGTCTTTCTTGATGTAAACTTGGGCTGTAAACTGTTCTTTTGACGGTGTACATTATTTGCATAATAAAAATATAGAATAGTTTTAATTAAGCATTGCTTCACTTCCTGAGTCATTTCTTCTTTTTCTGCCAAAATGCAAAACCTTAGGAAAAGTCACAGTTAATACAATCCAAAATTCCTCTTTAACTTTTCTTCATGTCATTTCTGATGTAATTTTAAACAGCAGCATGAGGGAGTGATGTTCAAGGATGACTTGTTTATTAATTCATTATTTTTTATGATCCGTCAGATCCAGTCGCAGCAGGGATCTCTACTAGGACATAGCAATCTTTACTACCACCCACATGGATGCTAAAGCTAGGATGACAAATGTCACTTCACTAAAATAGACTGATGGAACATTAATTCAGTGGAGTCAGTGGAGTGTTCTCTGTTGGTTACCGTTTCTGGCAACATTTTTTAAAAACCTTAAGGATACACACAATCTGTTTTGATGAGTCAAATCATGTTTACATCATTAATAATGTCAATCAATTTAGTAGACCTCCCAATAGAGAATAAAAAAAGGCTTTGTCTGGGTCTAGCAGCAGTTAACTGCTTGAATTCTCATGTTTTCAAAACCATTCTCTATTGCATGACTCATAAATATAGTGTATATTCAAATCTCAGTTTAGTTAAAGACAACAGGCAGAGCATTGCCTGGACCAAGAAAATATTTTCCTGATTCAACTACAAGCTTTTCCTGTTATTCCATGTACTCTTTCTTCTCCTAGCTTTTTGGTTTATAGCTTTGGTGGGAAGAAGCTCATATTTCCAAATATTGATTGTAAAACGCACCGATGGCTAACATCAACACCACACACACAGACACTAATAAAGTTATACTATAGATTTGATTGCAAACTGATTAAAACAATCCTATTATTTATCCATAGCAACGTGAGTATGCTCTTCTATCTTTAAGATTAGATTGAGTCATAATTTCGAAACATTTGTTTCCTAACAGTAAATATTGCTGATGCTGTCTTAACTCTGTGGCTCTTTGTTCTGAAACAAATCTCCTTGTCACAATAGCCGGTAAACTACCCGCCCTACTGATCTTCAAAATAGGCTGTGAATTCCAACTGGATCAACATTAGAGGTAAAGCATGACAGGGCTGAACTGAGCATGAGTTATGAATCTATGATCTAACAGCAGAGCATGGTGTGAACAGCAGCCACTTTAAGCTCCTCATACCTCAGTGAATAGAAAAGACACACACCTGACTGAGGTCAGTGTGTGACCTGTATAATACTGGAAGCATCACTGATATGCTACTTACTGCAGCTTCCTGCTAACAATTTCAGAACTAAACCTTGAATTCAATCTAAAGTACTCAACTGAACATCTTTCCAATACATTACTTCGTATACTATAAAATATCCTACCACATTATTGCCGCCGTTTCATAAAGCTTTTGTTGAATTCAACGGAATTGAGGCCAGTTAATTGAATAGGTACATCAAGTTTATGATAAGAAAAGAGGGCCTTTAATTGACATCCGTACAATTTAAAGTAAATGAACCTAACTGAACAATGACATGAGATTTCCCAGCGTAATTTATGGTTTTACAAAACTGTTGACGCTGTGGCCACAGTGTTGATAAAGTAGACACATTGACCTTTCATTTCTGACATGTTTGACTTCTTTCATGTCAAGTATTTGTACAAATCTAGCACCACCCAGTAAAGGCGTGTGATATTCTCCGGTGTCGATGGTCCACGGCTGTTGGAAGATGAGAAAACTGGATTGACACCCGATATGTCACATGCCACATAAACCTGCGAACATCCCATCTTGAACATCTTAATATGCTTGTAAATCACTGTTGACATTATGACTGAGTCGTAATGGGTGAACCTGCTCAGTAAAGCAAGTTCGAACATATATATACCTCATGACTATTTTGAATGGCATGACTAAATGTTACATATGTTTTTTATCCACCCATTGCCCTTTTAAATGCTGATGTCAGAAATTGAAGATAAAATTGAAGAAGATTTCTCCTGCTCAGCAAACATGTAGCTGCTTTTAAGTTTCATGTTCAAATCTTTGGTTGTTGCATTCAACTTTAGACATGTTGCTAAGCCAACAGCTTCCTCGCTGCAAGAGTTGTTTTATGGGGTTCATGTGGCCTGTGCTGCACGCCACTGTTAACGCTACCAGCTGCTCATGTGACCAGTGCTGGAGTAAAGCATGTGGCCCATAGTCTGAGAGCATCATAAAAATGATTCAAAGCAAGACCATACCAAGGGCATTTACAGAAAGATATGACTATCTAAGGAGTTGATGCATGCATGTGCAGTGACAGCTTTGCTTAATCTGGGTCATTACGTAGCTCTCTTTTCTTCTTAGTTTAAGAAAGATTGTATGGATCTTATTTTATTGAAACATAAAGCTGGACCTGGGCAATGTTGTATTAAATAAAAAGATAGCTAGGAGTTTTGAAAAGGAGGATGATACTCCTAAAAAGTAGGTATTTTTAAGCTGTCACAGCCAGGATAAGCAGTGAAAGACTGTACTTGTTAATGTCTTTTTGAACTGCTTATCTCACTATATGTGTGTGGTGAAATGTGAATATAGAATTATGAATATGAATGCATCTTTTTTATTTCCCAACTTGATCAAAAGTTACCACACCAAACTAAGCAGTTAATTTAAACTGTTGTAAGAAGCCACTGTTGATATTTGAATACCACATTAGCATATATTTGCATTTCTAAACTCTTTTAAGTCACTCTGATAACCTTAGGACATCTGATTTAAATTTGCACACAGTTTATACCTAACACTCATGCAAAATGCACACATTTAAGTAAGCGTTCAAGCTGCAAAATCTGAAAGCAATATGACTAAGCATTTATGTAACATAAATGATGACTGATGAATGAAAGCTGAAACTGTACCAATTGGAATAGATAACCAATTTACTAAAATAGGGCTGCACATGTTTAAAGGCAACACCTTACACAGTAGGCCACATTTCCTCAATGTTATCTTTGGATTTAAGAGTTGATAAACCAGAGGATTAGTTTAGTTTTAAAAACTGTAGCCAATTCTGAATACTTAACACCTCCATCTGAGAGTGGTGCTGTAAAACGATGAGTGATGCCCTTACCTCAGTACTCCTGTGATCCTTGAGTGGTGCTGCTTCCCGGTCTGATATGGGAGTGTTGCCTCCCTGGTCTTTAAGCTATTACATCCTAAGAGGAATGCCAATGACTCTACGACAAGCACATACGTTGTCAGACAGGGTGCCTGCCAAGAAAGGGATTACATTTTAGTTTTTGGCATAAATCATAACCTCTTGCAAAGGGGAGGGAGAGAAAGCTAAGGCTTTCAAGGCGCACTGTGGGATGACCATGACTTTTGGATCTTCTGACACATGCGTGAGCTTCCTTACAGTACGAGTGGTCTGATGATAAAAATATAACTTCTGAAAAATGTAATAAAGCCTATACTTGTCATGATTGATGCTGTGTTGCCCCGTATACTTATTGATTTTAAGCTGACTTTGTTTTCTTATATCCTCAAGATTTCTCGATATCCAAATAATTTGGCATAACTATGTGTAACTTTTGCAGGTAACTTCCTGAATTAGGCGAGGTAAACCTAAGTTACAGAGGGATGTGGAGGTTGGGTTTATTTTTCCGTTTGTGTTTGGGCTTTCTTTTGGCTGTTAGTCATGTCAGCCAGTTTTGTCGTGCTTGGAACAAGAGCTTAGTGTTGACAACCAAGTATGCTTGTGCTGACACTCTAATGGAATTATGAGAACAACAAAATGTTTCATAAATGGTTGGATGCACTTGATAGAAGACGTTTCTCCTGTATACCATGTGATGCATACCTTGGCCAGTGGCCGACACATCCGCCACTTTAGATCTTTTGAACATCTTGAGTCCTTTGGTTCCTCGAGAGATTCAGCAAGATTGTCTCAACTGCAATAGATAATAGAAGCGATTAAAGTCAATGTGGCTCGTCTCATTGACAACATCACAATTAATAATTGACTGGTAGCTTCCAGGAGTTCTTTTGCTTTAAAGTTGTTGTTGTTGTTGGACTTCTTATTGACACCAACTCAAAATACAATGTGTTTATTGGGTGTCAAAAGAGTCTTGGA